TGACACCAAATGTAATTAGCTGTACTATTTGCCAATACCCATTGGTAGTTACTAAGGATGGTTCAATGTTAATAGGAAGTTTAAAGTAGACTTTGGATATTGGTATTGCCTTAATCCTTCTCTGTGTCAAGATCTTCTCTCAGTTACTACTCATAAATAATATGATAAGGTAGAAACCAGCTTTCCTTCTCTTCTCTATTGAATGGTATAGGCCAGCACCAGAGTTTTAACTGGAATGAAACTAATTAAATGGAGATCCCAAGAAGTTTTTTCTGGAAACTGTTAAAAGATTAAAAGGTTACTCCATCCTGTTTATAGTTCATTAAGGTGATGTTGTAGAAAATATTTTGCAATGTGTGCAAGAATTTAAACACAAGACTCAATGCATTGTGGCTTCTTCATTCCACTCAGATTTTGAAACAAAACCTTCAATGGAATGGTTCAGTATACAATACACTGAGTCCATGGCTTAAATCCTTAACAATATCTTGACTGCCTCATTCTGATACTCATAGCATCTTTCTGTTTCACCTGAAACATCTCAGTGCTGAGAAGAAATGAGATGTCATGGTTTATCATGATGTGACTGCCTGCAATAGGCCCAGTCTGATCATCAACAGAACTCTTCATACTGGATCGTAGGATCATAGTATATTTGTTTATCAATATACATTACAAGTAAAGTTATTTTTTCGATGGGATTTATTTGAAAACCACTTCAATTTACACCTGTTATAATGGTGTGCTGATTGCCCCTGTAGCTATTACCAGAGCATATCAAGAGATGTGTTTAACAAATAGTAGCACTCTCATATATTCCCATTATCAGCTCAACAGCCTGTTAAAGGTATCTTCTGTATCTTCACCATACTTTACTCTGCTGAAGATCTATTGAGATTCCAGATTTTCTTCAGTAAACTTTCAGGGAGTCATGGCTGGTGGTGGTATTTTATATGCATCGCTGAATGAGATTATCACACTGAGGATTTCACCGCTTTTCTCTTGGAGATGTCAGTAGCATTCCTGGTTCTTCGAATATAAGTAGACTATGTGTTCATTGGCTTGCCTGATATGATTCCCTGCAAATGATCCTTCCATAGGAAACCATTTGGAGCTACTCTTTGCAGGACTTGCTCTCATAAACTCTCATATCCTTGTGAGCTAGTAAGAGACAGATGTTCTCAAATGTGGTTCAATTTAAAATATAAGAGTATGTCATATGTTAGTGTAGCCCAGCTTTGTTCTCTGATTATTTGACTTCTATGAGGTTAATGAGGTTAGTCCGAGTCAGAAAGCTTATGAACTCGGCTTATAATTTTGAAACTTCCATCATCTTCAAGTGTTCTGTATCATTAATTGTCTTCAAGTTTTATGCTTCAGTTATTGTCTTCAACACTGAAGTAGCTTTACATGTCAACAATGCAAAGCTCTCGTTGATGCCTGTTTATGGCAATCAGCATATGCGAGTCACACTTCACTGGTTTAGTATGATATGCAGATTAGATGGATATACTGAATATTACTCTTAATGTCAGCATTATCTACATCTATCTGATAAGGTCATCCTTATTAGGTCAATGCTTTTACTAACTGGCTAATTTATTGAACAAGTGTAAAACGTAATGGGTTATTTTTTCTTAACTGAATCAACCCGAACAAATTGCATCATTACAGCCATTAGATTATCAAATTATTTGAACAATATGATGCTCTTATTCTATGTGTTTCTTGTTATAAAGTGTGATACAAATTATTAAACATAACAGTAACCATTGGGAATGACATCAACAATGATGTCATTGATGTAAGGGATAACCCTTGAAATAACTGGCTACCTGCTTCTCAGAGTGAGTTCTTGATCTATTTCTGTCTTGAATTATCCACGGTTTGTACGTCATCTTTTTTATTTCTACCTAATACAGAGAATCCTGGTTAAGACTGATTTAGACTATTGACCTGTACCAGAACGAAATAGAACTAAATGAAATATGTTCACACAAATCTTCTAAAACATAATCCTATACTCTCCTATTGTAATGAGGTTGATAAGCAACATTTGGAGAGATATTTTTCTGCACTTAAACTGACATCATACCTTTGTGTTACCAACGTCATACAATGATATTTAAGGTAGTGATTGAAGTGGAACAATGTCTTGAATTCCATCTGTTGATGCAATATTTCATGGACTCTGGAGTATTAATGCATTGAATATAAGCTACTTATCGCATTTTATTGTGACTTTTTATCACACTTTTTCAAAGTGCTATAATGTCATTGTCTTTTACTGATTGGGGGCATGAGTCCAGGCAGGCACACATAACATGAATGTTGTCGTTTAAGATACCAAGATGTGAAACTTTTTAAATATGCAAGAACACACTGATGTCAAGACTTTATAAGTATAAGGGTAAATTTCTTGATGGCCATTTTGAAATGTTTGATGTGAGATGTGTGAGTGAGATATTTATAAATGTGTGTCTCATTGATGCTAGATCATCTGAATCAAGGATTTTCTCTAATGTAAAGAGTATAGAATGAGTTACGCTCTTTCCCAGGGTAGTTTGGTATTGGTTTAATGTTGCCCTCTGGGTCATACCGCCTAGTTGCAAAAAACTTTAGAAACAAGATACCTTGGTAACAGTTTATGGATGGTTGGAGTTTGCATCATCTTCACCTTGATTTAAATCGACCATGCTAGTTTATACTTTGAACTTGAGTCAGATTTTAAAGTAAACGTCTAGTGGGAGTTTTGGTTCAGAAAAGCAGCCTGGAGGCACATTTAGTATCTTGTAGTTTTGAGATGTTTGATTGAATTTCACATGTTGATTGCTTCGGTAAAGCATCATGGTATCTATGTTAGGTCTTTTTTGTAGATATGAATACATGTACCAATATTTTTATGAGGCTCAGATGCAATTGTAAATGAATGTTACCATGTTCACGATGTCTTTGTCTCATGCCTTGTATCCATTCACTAACTGAAACTAAAGCCTGAAAAGAACTTTGCATTTATTAGATGGAGCAATGAGAACTTTTGTAGTGTGTAGTAGTATACTGATATTTGTTGTTACAGAATTCCAAGAACTGTTCCTGGATTTTTCATCATAATGTTGGATACCAAATAATGTATTGATGCACCCAGAATAATGAGACATTATTTAGGTGCAGGTTATCCTTGCAAAATATGTTTTATGTTTGGTAACTAAGCCACTTAATCAGCCATGTTCTCTCACAGTTCCTCGGGGAAAGATCTCCAGCTTACGATCCTCCACTTCATTTATTGCCTGTCTGTTGTTTCACCCTGAATTATGATTCGCTTATGAGTAGCGCACTGGGGTCTCCATAGAGGTATTAATCATTAACAAAGTTGATATTATATTGCTCATTCTAACCGGTGACTTATGACAGGCGTCCCAGGATACCTGTGTCTTTCCAGACATAAATGTCAGGCTGTTTCTGCTACAAAGTGAGGCAGAAACAAGACGAATCAGGAAGGAATCAAATTAATGAAGATTCAGCACCAGTTAGCGTTCTTAATATATAATGTAATTAAGTATGAATGTAGATGCTTTATTTATATTACTGAGTATAGAGAATTAATATGATCTCTAAATAGTCAAAATATTTCTACTATACCCAACAGAACTAATGGTTTGGTACTTTTATGGATTGGCACTGTTATAGAGGTACCATCGTTGGTTATTGATAAATTAATTTTGCCAAATATATGTTGAAGCACAAACTGGCAAACTAGCCTTATCTGATTTTTTACTTTTATAGTCATTTGTTTTTCAGTTGGGTTATATATCTTGAATTCTGTTACCAGATTTTTCAATGGTTAGTTGAAGTGGGTCTTTCATTTTTTGAAGAGGTCTTGCTTGGAGTGGAGATGTTCATAGAAAGTGGTTTGGCTCACTGGTATCGATTTAAGACTTAAAGAGGCTTTGGTGTAACTTAAAATGTTCTCCAGCATTATGGCAATTTCTTCTGCACAACAGAATGTGGACATGGTTGAATCAACATGGACATTTTAATACACTTCAAATGTGTCTTGGTTTATTTTGTTCAAGCCTGAGTTATTACTTGATTGATCCATACATAATAGGCTGTATGCTGTTTTCACACTTTCCAATACCTTCTTGATGTGATGTCCGATCCATAAATCAAATCCAAATAGAAATTTGATGAACACTTTTTGTTGTTGGTGATTGTTTTGGTTCTTAACATTACTGCTATTAGCTATGATAAATTCTGGAGAATGTCTCAAAGGCTATCACTGTTGTATTATTTGTATTATGATAAATTGCATACAAGTGAAAGGCAGTGTTAGATTCTTTCGCATATTATGGTTCCTGATTTGATTGAGACATACAGTGCTCCTGATTAGCCTTGATCAAGTCACAATGTAGCAAATTGTTTGTATGTTTAGATTCTCCCAGGAGAGACTAATTGAGCAGCTTTGATTGATCGCTTAGTCAGATCTGGTTGATGTTTTTGTGTAGTATACATGGTCAAGGAGGATTTAGGCTCCCAGGGACACAACTTAATATTTTCCAACAATGAAAATGTCAGAATATTGTTACTTTCTGACATTATAACTGACTATAAATTCATAATCAAGAGTCCGAAAGATATCTCGATCACTTCTTGTGTGTTTTGGAATATTTTGTTAGACTCGCGATTCAAATTCTGAATTGAAAATATGGCAGCTGTTTGAATTCAAATTTTATAATCACAACATTTCCATATATGGCAGAATATCAAGTTGGAACCTTTGGAGCCAATCCTCCTCAATAAACCTAAAGAGCTACTTCTACATAAGCTAGGCATTGTCAGTCCATTTTTGTATGACTAATGAACTTTCTATTCACTGTACTTTCTATGAAATTAAAAGCATTTTCAAGAAAAGATTCATGATAAAATATTTGTGTCTGGAACTTCGTTTCATTTTTATCACTTATTTATATCTAATCCTATGCTTTTTAATGTATTTTCAGGAAGTTGGAAGTATCATAGGAAAAGTGAGTACAAATCTTAAAAGAAAAAATTTTCTCGAGTGATATTTGAACAACAATCTGCCTTGACAAATCGAGAAAAAATAAGTAGCTCAATTAATGAAGTTTTCTATCTAATGCTCTATTAATGCTGATTGATTTTTGAGTTACTTTATTTGGTAAATCGTATGTTGGAATAACGAATGCAAATGACAGGAAGCTGTTAGCAATCATTCTTGCGACTTTCTTTGTCAGATGCCAAGTAAGCCTAAGTATGAATAGGGAAACAAGAGAGCTCAAATCAATATGCCTTTTCCAGAATTTACTTGCAAATATCATGGAAGTGGCAAATCAAGCATTATAGTGACTTAAGTCACATATCTAAAATGTCAATATATTCTTTCACTCTTTCCTTCAGCCGAGTGTCAAGAGTTAAAAAATTATTGTTTTTTCGATGTTTACCGAATAAGGATCTAGTTTCATTAATCCTGTTGAGTATCATTTTCACGTTACCATGGTAATTGGCCATAATTGCATTGATATAAGGTAATGTAATATGGTTAGAATCTCAAGCTAACCATGAAATGTTTTGAACTTGTTTTTTCAGAAAGGGGACAATGTCAAGAAATACAGAGAAGAAGTAAGTAACCATAGCAATAGGTTTATCATATCACCATAGCAGCCATATTTTCTGACTTTCATCCATCCTGTGTGAATATGATTTTGTTATGATTTGAAAGATTAATGTGAAGTTAATGTTTAGCATGTGTAACCCAACCTGCTACACCTAATGAATTGCACCTGTACGGAGTCTTAACTTGCCTCATCATATACATACAATTATATGTTACCTGAAGTTAAACTGCAGCGGTAATCAAAGTGTCCTCATATACATGTATATGTACATAACTCTGAGTCTCATATGCAAAACAGTAACAAATCCAAACATAAAAGATGCAACTGGAATTATCATGTTTTGAACAGACGTTAAATGAATTTGAAGCTCACATTTTGTAGCTTGACTATCATAGAGGAAGCTCATGGGGTAATAATCAAAGTTCATAGCTATATTGGAACTTCACGTGTCTATGCATGAAAGATGGTAACAGTTTCGGCCTAGATAGCCTAGAACCTGTGAGGAAGATATGGGTTTAACAGGGAGCAACTACAGCGATATATCATAACGCCACTGCCTTCATCATCAAAGGAAAACTGTGAACTATTCAATTACTAATATCTGGCTTTGTTTTCCAAATCTCCGCTTTAAACATTATGAAAACATATTTGAAATCAATCACTTGTTTCATCCTGATAAACTCTACCATCTTTCAAGGAAGAAATAAATATAAGATATATGCTTTACAAAATGGGATATTAGTATAAACATTTGAGGATAATATAAAGTCATACCACCCAGAATGCTGTTCTAAATGCCAGCCAGAGATTGGTACCTGGCACTAAGAATCATCAAATAAGAATGTTTCTCAATTGGTTACCATAGCGACTCTTAGCAATTCATTAATATCAAAAATCAAAATGAAAGCCATCGAGATTGAGTGTTGGATAATGACATTCCTTTCATTATGTTTGATGGATAAGTCATATTTATAATCTGGGGCTTAATTAAGAAAGGGATTTAGATTCCCTTGATCATGCATGTCAAATTTGGTAAATATTTACCATTGCATGAAGCCACAGAAAATAACAGAATCACAACTTAATTTAAGTCTATATTTGATGAATCGGTGTTGGTTCCTCTTCCATTAGCTTCTATATTTCCATAGTTCAATTACAAATGTACATTTGGAATGTAAGAAAAATAACTTGGTATTAATCTTTGAGGCTTAATCTATTTTCTGTCCTGTGTCACATTATAATCATCTATAATGCCAATACTGGATAATATATAATCATTAGTTCTAATATTTAGTTATAATTTCATTTTGTAGCTCTCCTGTTGCGCAAATATACCATATAATTGGATTGAGGAACTGTATACTTTGTCAACACTTTTCTTTATTACAAGTGGGAATATTCTAGTGTCGTGTAATATAGAATAAATTTTCTTTTTTATTCCTCAAATACTATTTCGATGTTTTCTAATGACTTCCATAGAAATGAAGTGTCCCATGGTCTTATGATCTCTGAATGCTGAGACATTGGGCATGTTAGATCATTTTTGGATGTAGATGGATTGTTTCCTTATTAATTTTTCAACTCACATTTGTTCATTTTAAAGGAGAGACTGAGGTAAAATCAGAGCAAAATTTATAGGGTTTCTGATAGTTGTTGATTTATTGGCCCAACAACATAGGCTGGTTGTACATGTAAATAATGTTTGTATTTTGTGTTTCAGAGTGGTGCCAAAATCAACATATCTGACGGATCATGTCCAGAAAGAATAGTTACAGTAACAGGGTCTACAGACTCAATCTTCAAAGCCTTCACAATGATATGTAAAAAATTTGAAGAGGTAAGCAAAAAATGTGTAGAGAAAGATGTCTGATCATGGAAGTGCAAATGGGGATACTTCATACGGACTCTCTCTTCAGAACTAACTTACCCAAAATAATATTTAATCAGGGCATAGGTAGAGGGGTTGGGTTAAAGGGGGTAAGGATAGATGAGTCATTTTCTCCATTGGAAGAATTTATTTTGTATGTATAAACAACACTTTGTTTTCTGTATAATAACATAGCAATATGACATAAAATGCTCAAAACACATGGCAGTATTATTGCCTTCATACACCAATGGAAATTTAACCAGGTAACCCTGAATCAATATAACAAACAAGACAAGTTATAATCTGTTAGATGTCAGGAGGTTAATAATCTATCTTGGAATTTTATTTACAATTAGACATTCTTTATGCTATTTATGGTGCTGGCTGCTATAGTTTGATTTTCTATACATATTACTCATTCTGATTCAAAGTATTTTATCCAATTTTATTTGGGAGGTTTTTTTCATGAATGTAAAGAATCATGGTCCTCAGGGATAAGTTCTCCCCTTAAAAGTGTTTACTTCCCAGGTTGAGTGTAAAGGTATATGTTTCTAATTAGGTCACTGGAAAAACAAATTGAGCAGGGGGCACTGGAAAAACAAATTGAGGGGGGGGGGGGGCACTTGAAAAACAAATTGAGGAGGGGCAGTTATATCTGGGGTCAGAATATAAAACATTGACATACAGAATTGTTTTAACCAAAATGGAGCATATAATTTAAGTTTTAATATGCTAAGGGTAAAATATTTTTAAAAAAACAGATAGACAAAAGAGCAATTCATAGTACAACTGGTCATATGAAACAAATCCCCAGCATCCCAAACAGTGACAAAACACACTTGTGAATAATATGGTATTATGTGTGGGTTGAAGGTAGCCAGATAGATAATTTTATGTTATGTGAACTTGGGTACATAACCACATTACTACCTGTGGTGTGAGAACATCTAACATGAGATTATTCATCCAAACCTGGGATTCAACTAACTGAAACCATTCCATCATTTCATCAATGTATATTACGCTTTCTCAAGAATTGTTATTTTAAAATGGTATGTGGTGTGGTTATAGATTTTTTTCATTTTGAGATCATACACGCTATTTTTTATGTATTGTTTATAAATTGTCCAAGTAAGTGATAGAGGTTCTGTTATTTCTATTGCAATATAATCTAGCAATATTATTGTTCGTACATATCATATAAATGTACAAAATATGCCATTAGAAGGACTTCATAATTGTTATTTGTAGGATTTTCTGTTGTTTCAGGACCTGCAGAATCTACCTAATGGTGTCCCTAGGCCACCAGTCACATTAAGGCTCATTGTACCTGCCAGCCAGTGTGGATCATTAATAGGAAAAGGTGGCTCCAAAATAAAAGAAATTAGAGAGGTATTACTCTATGACAATTTAAATCATCAGAAACTAGGGATTAAATTGATGAATAGGAGAATGGTAAATAAATTGATTTGAATAGCAATTTCATTTATTATTAGTAATATCTGAATCTACCTGCCTCAAAATGAAGGTATTTGTCAGTATTAAAAACATAATCTTAACAGCAAAGAATCTTTAGGTAAAAAGCTGCTCAATGCTATAGTGAAAGGTTTTATGGACAAGCTGTTCAACGAATATCTAGACCAGGCTAAAACCTGATTTGAATATGAAAATGATTGATATTAGCCAAAACAGTTGGACTAAGCTGATCGATTAAATGTGTCATTTTTATTTCAGTTAAATGTGTCATTTTTATTTCAGTTAAATGTGTCATTTTTACTTCAAAGTAATTTATTTTAAAGGGGAAAGAAAAAGCCAATCTATGCCAAGATCTTTTTAAAATTTAAATGGTTGGCATTTTAAAAATGTTTTGTCATTGCAATGTCCATATAAAAAACAGAGGGATGGAGGATCTCTTAAATTACTTTCTCAGCAAGTGAGTCATTTTGACACTGCCTAATTAACCCAAGCAGGTGCTTTGTCTGTACAGTGCTACACTTGGTAGTACTTTCAGATCATATGAGATTAGATATGTTGTTTGACATGTTTGTTTCATGTGTTTAGATTACTGGTGCATCAATACAAGTTGCCAGTGAAATGCTTCCCAATAGTACAGAGCGTGCAGTGACCATATCAGGCACAGCTGATGCCATTACCCAATGCATATACCACATATGCTTAGTCATGTTAGAGGTAAGAATCATTAAAGAGTTTTCCATTCTCTCTCAGAGCATTGTGTGTATCATCTCTCTGCTGGCTTTGAATATATATTGTAAAATACAGTGTTTGAGATTGAAATTTACAGCTTCTGGTCAAACCTGAATGACTGATCATTGTCATGTTTTTTCATACACGTGCTGAAAAAATGGATGAACCAAATCGGTACAAACTGATTCCAGACATTTGGGCCAGCTTTCGTGTTGCAACCTTTTCATGATGTAACTATTACAATATTGTAAATGGCTATAGTATTTTATGAATAATTATTCATTGCTAGTTTAATCATAATTTATGACAGTTTTCAATGATGTGAAATTCTCCAGACATAGAGGTGGTACATAAGATGCATAAAAATATGTTGTAATGTATTGATGTAGTGAAAGGTGGCAGCACCTGACAGTATGTGCATTTAGCTACTTTAATAAAAATAAGACATTTTTGTAGCTCATATATTCTTGTCTTAATTTATTTTGGTAAAATAATTTGTTTACATTTAAACATTATATAACTAATTTTTAAATAACATTATCATTGATTATTGTTTATTTATCATCTTATTATTTCTTATATTATATTATATCTGTTGTTCTTTCAATACATGTATTCCTTCAGTTTTAGTATTCAATACAGACTTGATATCCTTCGTGAAAACTTTTTCACATTTCAAAGTTTCATAAATTATGACATACAATTCAAATTGTGTAAAATTTGCATGTTTTCCATCCAGAATGTCTTCCGATGTTATTCATCAGGGTCAATTTTGGGAGAAGTTTTATCTTTTCAAATCACTCCTTGCGCATGTGGTTTGATTACGCAGTAGTATCATTGTGTGTTTTGATGATAATCAAATGTTATACAAAATGGTAATGCATGCCTATCTGTTCTGATTCTCAAGCATTCTGACAATTAATTGAGTTGCTGAACATTTTGCTTTTCAATCACGATCATAGCCTTTGCCTAGATATGAATATTCTAATGATCATTTCATTAACAAATTTGCATCCTACAATAAGATTGTTTGTATTAATAGATCTCAGTTCTTGTACTATGAAAAGATCATGAAATATACATCTGCCAAAGGCTCATCTAACTGTTATTTATGCGTTATTAAAATATGAACTTATTGAGATTTTTCTCCCTTTTTGCAGGATTCAAGAGTTCCGCTGTTTTCCCCTTTTCCTTTAGTGTACCACCACCATTACCATTACGTAACCCCTTAATACATTTAGAAGCTTGCCGTAGGGCTTGGTATTTCCTCGTTCGTCGTGAATGTGCTCTTTCTTTAGGTGCACGCAAGAGAGCTATTCCCTACACGTCACCCAGTACAAGTTTTATTTTAGCTTTTTTTACAGATCGGTGGTTCCTCATGTCACATGACCACCACCTATGTATGCCCTCTATAGGCCTAAACCTAAACCTTCCCTTTCTATCCGCAGTCCCCTCCTAAAGGTGCGACCATCCCCTACCGTCCAAAACCTGTCATGCCGCCTGTTATCTTTGCTGGAGGCCAGGCATTCACAGTTCCGGGACAGTTCCCAGCCATGCCACAGCCACAAGATGTAAGTTGCATTTATGATAACTTTACATAATAATAATAATATTTATTATCTGTTAATTAATGAAATTATTCTGTAGTCCCCTGTCCCCTGTTATTAAGGATAAGCTTAAATATTGTCATTTTATGATTCACTTGTTTATATTAAGTTATACCATACTTATGCATTATTATAAATAAACTCATATTGTCAATGTATGACAGAAAATTTTATTCTCTGTAGTAAAGATGTTTGATGTTACAAATTCTACCAAAATATTAACTTAGGAGAGGGGATTTTATAGCTAAGCAATAATTCATAATCTATACAAAAATTATGATGTAGAATTATGCTTGTGTAATTGACATTTCTAGATCCATTGGCATGGTCAATAATGTCAATTTAGGAGAAATCATTTAACTTTTACTTTCTGCTGATGACTCTAAGCCTGCTTTAAGGCCTGTTGAAAGGTTAAGTTTTAATCAAAATGTTCTATCTGAAACTATTCCGCCTAACAGGAGAATTAGGTGATGACTCTGGGAAAGGTGTCTGTTTATCTTACCAATGGGTTGTAAGTGGGGAGAATTTAATGATGATTCTGTGCCTAAAGAACAGCCCAGTGGGTAATTAGATGGGAGTCTATTAAAGTGTTTGTGTAAATGATGTTTAGATGTTTATCATCCAAATGGAGAGTTATATTGGAAATTATTTATGTGTATGTTGACTAAAGCTCAGTGGGTGGGAATCTATTGACCAATATGTGTTATTCATGTTTATATGTCTGTTTACTAGCCCAATGGGCAACTAGGTGGTATGAATGGGGAGGAGTTGATGCAAGGCCCACAGGGAATGCTGAACACAAATATGTTATTGCAGATCCAGAAACAGATGGCAATGCAACAGAGCTTATCTGCTATGCCACACCTCATGCCAGGACTATCTGCTGCCCAGCCAGGTCTCATACAAAGTGAGTACAACCGAAGCTTTTCTGGCTTTTGCTGTGTTTGATATTCATCTAGGAACTCTGTCAAATATCAATAGTTTTGCATGATGACTTGTTCCCATTTCCTTAATTTGGTGAATGCTGTTGACACATTGTCACCCATTCAGTGTTCTTTGTTTTTCTTAGAACAAGATCGATTTTTCACCTCTCACCTCCTCCCATGGTATTTGCCTGCTTGATCTCTCATACCCTTAAAATATGTTGATTTTACATTCTGCTTTCCTCATTGATAACTGGAAGAATAGAAATTGTGAATGTGAACCAGTAAGAAGGATCACTGTGAAATCAACTGAAATAAGTATGAATGGGTTGAATCTGCAAATCACAATAAGTGAATCAGTCGTCTGATATGGTAAAAGTCTATGTATCGACGGCAATGATTCTTTGAGCAGCTGTTGACTTCTTCATTTTTTTATATTAATTTTATGTTTAAACCATGTGAGGCATTCTATAGATTGATTCCCCTTCAGCTTGCATTTCTTTTTATTCCTTTATTGTGTTTTTTTTATATTTGCGTTCGTAAGTTTTCAGAAGAAACATTTTTTGTACAATGTATTTTCTTCTGATCACATTCAACTTTGTTTTGTTGTTTATAACATGAAGTAGTGGATATATTTATGTGTATTTTAAAGTTAGATGGTTTGATATGTAAATGTAGTAGTTAAACTAACAGTAGTAGTATTAATTGTTAACATGTTGTTGATTTAACAGGTTAAATGGGAGAGCATGTTTTTTTGTGCTGTAGATAGAATATTTTCATCAGCCTAGCAGGTTACTCTCCATATGTTTCAGCAATGGGGATGACCCCCGTAACCCCAGCATATACACAGCAGCCTGCCCCCCAGGTTCTACGCCCTGGCAACCCTGCCCCACAACAACAGCAAGCTGCACAACAACAGACCACGCCAACACCCATACCAACTCCCAATGCGCAAACGCACGAAATAACAGTCCCTAATGATCTCATTGGGTGTATTATCGGGAGGGGAGGACAAAAAATAAATGAAATCAGGTAAGAAGATTTTTTTATATGGACATTTTATTTCTTCTTTATTGCATTATATTTTTCTCACTCTTCATTAAGATTAACATACAAAGTTATTTTATGGAATAATATTTTGTATTTTACTATTTTTTATAGCATTCAAACAGAGAGTTTCATTCCCATAATATAATCCAGAGTCATATTTACTTTTTAGCAGACAATAAATAAGACATAAAAATGTTGAAATGAAGTCTTGCATTCAACAAATTATTCTTGCAATCCAATAAGATGAAATCTTATTCAAGATTTCAGATTTCAGAAAATTCGTAGTGTGTAATACACCAACTTCACTCTATGTTTGTTTGTTTTTTTTTGTTTTTTTTATTAAAATCAATGTAACATATTTACAGGTTGTAGTGGCTAAAAGATAAAAATAAATTTAAAAGAAGGTTGTAGTGGCTATACTGTATATATACAGTATAGCACTATATCTGCACTTTTTACAAAAGTATGAATGTTATATTTCAGACAATTTTCTGGTGCTCAAATAAAAATATCAAATCCTGAAGATGGTTCAACAGATAGAAAAGTGACAATTACAGGGGTACCAGAGGCCATACAGGCAGCACAGTATTTAATAAATGCGAGGTTGGTATACCCTATGCACTGATACAACTCATTATCAGATACCTCTCAACGCCAAACTGTACAAGATCAGCTCATAGGCTCATCACTTGAGGGTGCAATAAAAGAAAACTACATGCACACTCCATTATTAACAGTCTTCTGCAATATAAATTTAAAACAACTGCAGGTCAAAATTGTCCAACATATTTCACCAATGAACTATACTATAAATGTACTATACTGCTATAGCATCTTGTCAATTTTGAATGGTCACAACTGTGCGTTTATATTTTTCCATAAATTTTGGAATTAAGGGGATATTCTATCAAGTTAATGTTGGATGTGCATGTTAGTTTTTTCAAAGTCAAGTCAGGTTGTCAATTATATCAACGAACTCTATATTAACAAAGTGTAGCATTTTTATTACTATATATTTATTATAATTTGTATATAGTGTACGGATGGATTGGTTCATATTGTGTTATTTGTTATCTAACTTATGATGTATTATATTGTTATTGCTATTTATATATTCATTATATCATACACCTCTTGTAGAGGTTGTTATTATTATGTGTTATGAACTGATTGAAGACTATGTGGAGGGTGACAAACATGTATATACCTTTACAAAATATACCCTACAATGAGCAGTATACTCAAAGAATCTCAGCTGTACTCAAAGAATCCCTGCAGTACTCAAAGAATTTCAACAGTACTCGTATAATTCAGCTTTATTTATTTAATATCAACTTACATTTTAGACGGAAGTTCTGAGGCGCCAAATCAAAAAAATCATTTTCTTTCAAATGTCAAACTTTTCAAATTTAAGAACATTGATCATTTTAAGCCGGGTGCAACTCAGTGAAAATGTCCCTTATATCCTATATCTCAAATCTCCCCTGATTTTTAAGTCCCATCTCCATACCTCCAGTCCTATTTACAATCTCTTTTAACTATTTTATTTTTTAAATTATTTTTACCTTTGTTGCTATGGTAACGGTGACCGTATTGACTAGCATTGTCGTGTCATGTAATGATTTGCACCGCCCTGTATCAATGTACTTGTGTATATGTCCATACCCATTTATAACCAACCTTTTCTTTTGTTTCTAACTATTTGTGAAATCAACTAATTATGTATCGTCCCATAGAGTTATAACATCAACAAAGTACATTGAATGCTTAATAAAGATCCTGGAATCCCTACCTATTGCTTTCTAGAACCATCTATCTGAAAGTACTACCGCTTTTACTAACAACAGACGTGATAAAGATGAACATAATTGTATTTGGGTGTCGGCACTGCAAAATAAAAGTCAACAAGAATCAGCCAGCTAGTTATAGAATGAAAATATCATTTATTAGCAGACCTAATAGTTTCCATACAATGCTATATTTTAGAGTTACCAATGAATGGGATGCACAGGGCACATGGTCATAGTTCTTAACTTGAAATGTTTCAACTCAAATTTCCCTTATTTGATTAATAAAGTGGTTTTATTTTTGATTGTCATTTATGTTCTTTAGACACAGCATGAGCATTGGTTGTTCACATTATACCCATATATAGTCATGGGAACTACTGACTCTGACTATCACAAAAATGATCAGAATTTGCTTGGAATTCCCTAGCATGTCCAATGTATACTTTTTTCTTGTTACCATGGTGATGGTTACATTATAAGTCAGCATGTGTAGACCATACATGTATGATTTCTAAAGCTGGAAAGATTGTTACAAATGAGATATTTTCTGGTAATTATCAAATTACCTTGGTAAATCCTTACAACTGGGTCAGTTTTTGGTTCAACCCCAAAACTAGGATTCCAAAACAATCGTTGTAAGTTATGGCAATTCCAAAATCTTTTCCCATATAACTCAGATCAGTACAAATTCCTAGATTGTCTTTATATAGTATGTGACAATGTTTCCAGAGTTGGGTATCAACCAAGCGCCTATTCTGGGTTATGTTAACATGGCATTGGCTCATGCTGTTGTCTTTGTACATGTGCTTCTATAGGTCCTGTCCCACAGACCACTCTAGTCATCATCGCCTACCGGAGCTGTTCATCTAATTATTGAACCTTACAAAACATGTCTCGGTATCACAGAAGTATAGATGTTTCACAAATTAATGTACATTTTTTATATGCCTTTCCTTACTAAATGGCATTTGTATGTGAATGTGTGAACTTTTAACTGTCAGTGTACTACTTTGACAATTTTATCTGTTGATCGAAAAGGATGATGACCGTGATGTTTTTTGGAAGGGCTTTTCATTTGGCAATACCTTTAACATTTCTGCAGTTCATTTGTGAAATTTCAATGATTCATCTCTACAAAATAAACAGTTATACAAAGCTGTTTCTGAATGAAAATGTCTGATTGATTGAGGATTTTAAATTCATGACATTTCACAAGATGAAGAAGCTGTTGGATAATGTTAGTAAGGGTTGTAGAATCTCGAGATGACACGACTGGCCATAAACCGATATCTTCTTGCACCACCATTTTGTGCCTTAATAGTAGTTATTTGCACATTTTATTTAGCATGTGTAATCCAACTCCACTATTATTATAACTGTCATGTCATCTCAGTATAGTAGAGCTGATATATACATTCCTGGTGTGGGTGGGGGCTGTCTGAATTTTCTCATGTCACAATACTATACAGTGATGTCAGTCACTGTTGTGCATTGTGATGTCCATGGTATGATGTCAGACTGCCCCCACAGCAAACTTCTGCTAATCCAAAATTTGCTTCTCTTATTTTAGTTGGTAATGTTACACTGATTCAGATCACCAATATATCTCAATGTCTACTAAGGTACTAACTGTTGTTGATTCCATGTATATGTACTGCTGTATTTTTTCTAATTTTGTTTCCCTTCCATTTTCTCTGCAGCATGGAATTACATAAGACCTTGACCCTCGACCCCACCTCTAGCCCCCAGACAGCACCTCTGGTGTCGCAGGCTCCCTCCCTCAACACCATGGGACTCCCCCTAAGCCACGTGCCTGTCAAACCTCTTCCAATGTCAATTTATGGACTCAATGTTGGCTTAGTAGATAATGCCACAAAAACCTACATGCAAAAAATCAAGGCCACTCCGGCCACTGCTACGGCCTTGAAGAATCAGGCCAGCGTGAAGTTTGCTCCTTACTAGCCTGAGTGCACTGTTGTCATGGTTACCAGCCTCATTAGTAGTAAATACTGACAGGATCTCAAGTCAATCACCAGGGGCGTGTCCTCATGCTCTGCCTAGATGCCGGCAGCTTGATGTGAGCCCAAATTTTCAGCATATATTCATAGAACAAAATATAGGGTATATTTTGAAGTACACCTGTACTTAAGTTTATGTTAAAGACAATACAAAATGCCAAATTTTATTTGATTTTGAAAGCAATAATGTTATACACCTCGTTTTATCCTGTTGTTATGTTATGACTTTTAATGTACAATGTACATGTAGTTTTGGGGCTAGTGCTATGGTAGGTTTGTGGTAACGACTGAGCAATTGGTAACCAGAAGTGGTTGCCATGTAATATTTCTGTTCCACCATTCCTTCACAATCAAATCACTTTTATGGTGTCATATAAGCTTTGACAAATCAGGGATACTGTGTTATTAACTGCGAGCCTGCTTTGTAGGCATACTTATGCCCAACTTGGAGGCAACTAACTATTTGTGTACAGTACTGCTAAAATGTGCAATATTACTGGAATGTAATGTATTAATAAGAATTGCTATTTTGTGGAGAATTTTTTTATTTTTCAGAAGGTCAAGCTTTTAGAGTGGGTTAGATGGTTACATTTATAGCTAATAAGTATTAACTGAAGTACTTACAGTGAAAGTATGTTTTTGTGTCTGTCCCATTTAGGGAACCCTTCATATAAAGGTATATGTATTTGTGTATCATAGGCGAATTCTTTGAGATAAGAAGATTGCTATATGAAGGGGACCTGTGTATATAGCACTGCACTCATGCACCATTCATGTACCATAGACCCATATTGTTTTTAATTTTACCAGGTGTTAATAGGTGTTTGATTGTTTAGTTATCTCCATGGCAATCAAAGCCAGGTGATGTATATTATAATATGCTGTTAACAATCATTTTAAATGCATTGTCTCATTTGAAAAACCTCACAAATTGTTATTACATTATTCTTTAACTTAAGTATTATGTCTCCTAACTTATTTTGGGAAATTATACAATTTTAGTCGTATCATTTGAAATATGTTTTTAGATTTTAGAAATAAATTTTGCCAGTTTATGTATCATCAATTCATCATAGTGTATATGAAATGTCAATTCAAATTGTATTAAAGAAACATTAAACAGTGTATTTGGTACTTGATTTTTCAATTTATTATCATTGTCTCAAATTGTTGGATAAAAGTCATGCATTAAGTCCCTGAGTTACCTCCCTCTTAACATAGTACCTTAAATAGATAGTGAAGGGGGGGGGGTTGACCAGAGACCTGATGCAGGGCAAGATGAATTAGAACTTATTTACAACAGCAATGGAAGCTTTTGGTATGTGAGGCTAAGTACATGTAATGGGGATCGAAAAAGTGTCAAACATATGAAGTTATATTTTTATTGCATTTTATAAAGACTTTCTATTGAATGAACTTACTTATCACCAGCAGTGTCATGGAAACGAAGAAAACTTAAAAGTAGATTACTTGAGTTATGTAATTATATGTACATTATAGAGTGTAGGACATATAGAGGATAACAAGTCATCTGTTAGTGCCAATCATGAAAATCAGAATTATTATATTCATAATAATGATTTTAAATAATTATTGATATATTATTGCGACAATTTGCATGAGTCAATCAACAAGCCACTGTTCATACTCAGTTCTGAATTGAAAAAGTCCATTGAATTTTGGGTTTTTTCTGTCTTCGATTCTTATTAGAAATTTGAATGAAATGACAGATGAGGGAAGAGTATTACTGTGCCTTCCTGACTGTTTCTTATTACTATGTCATGTTTTTTCGTCGCTGTGTTTTCCAACAAAGCAATGTATACAAAATGATTCAAATGCACATTAAGGTTGACAATGTTTGTCTTGAAAGCTTTATATGGATTTATTTGATTCAGAACTGAGTTGGCACTTTGGTTTTTCAATGTGTGACTAGTCTAAGTAAATGTTAGGCATTTACACTTACCGGTATTTTATCAGATATACAACCATGAATTTCAAATTATATTTCACAAAATAGAAATATTTATAGAGAATATTCATTGGGAATGTATTTTTACAAATACATTTCATATTCATTGAGAGAAATCTTCATTATGCTGTGCAATAGTGGTAAACAGCATTATTTTATATATTTGCCTGAAAATCTGTGTTATGTTTTGTTAACAAAAAACAGACATTTGTACTTTAAAGAGAGTGGGACTTGATAATTATACTCTATACTCATAAACATGGTATATTGTTACAATTGTATGTTATGTTAATTAATACAACTTTTGCTAGTAATCGAATAGTGGATATAATATTTTGTGTTTTAAACATACACTTTGTTAAGTGTAGAAGCAGCTATTTTGAGAAACACTTAAAAATATATCAAACTCCACTCTCCTTAAAAGGCATCAAAAACATGGTATTTCTAGTAAGCATTTATATTTAATCCATTTGGACAATTTGTGAGACATGAATGCCAAACTTGCCAATCTCAAGCGAGACCACAAAAATTGTCAGTCTTGCATGAGATTCCGTTCCTTGTATAAATTCAGTCTTCGACCATGTGACTCTCTTGTATTCAAATCCAGTTTTATCACTGTAGTTATCATTATCAGTGATTATCATTATCAAATATCATAAAGCTTTCAAACAGATTGTTTTTTGTATGTCAAGATTAACCTTAAAGAAAACATTTGTGTAACTAGACGTTAGAGGTAAATTTTACAAATTAAACACATGATATTAACGGATGAATGATATTTAAAGATTAAATGATGTTTTAATAATCCTGGATTTGTGTACCAGAGATCACAAATTCGGGCTTCCGCTGGGAACCTCATAGTGTTTGCCACAAGTTGTCCAGTTTTGAATTGACCCCCATGTGCTTCTATTAAGCAATGTTGAACTGTAGATATTGTAAATAAAAAAAATGTACATGATTTGTACAATGATAAGTGCAAGATTTTAACAGTAAATCTAATATATGCTAGCATAGAATATTAAGTTGACTAAGAGTACAGTACAATTACTGCTGGCAAAACTGTTTGCATGGTTTAATTTGAAATGTTTAAAGTTACTTTTTGCCGAAAGTAAATGATTCTAGTCTTTGCATTAGGCACGTGAAAGTAGATTATGGAAATAAAAGTTTTATTTTAGTCAGAGCTAGGTATACCAAATTATTATTTGTTTGACTTTGTTTACAAAAACTGTTACCATGGTTACATTGGCTTTTCTGTTGCCACGACTACATTGACTAACACTTGCCATGGTGAGATATTGGCTTACAGGGACTGGTTGATTGTACAAGGGTGGAAAACATTGGTGGTAATTTAATGCCTGTTTAATCACTGATTAGCATTAATTTAAATCTGAACTCCATACTGCTAAATAACTACAAAAGGTTATGAATTTTATTTTAGTAAAACCTATGAAATATATATGGATTTTTAATGATTGATTTACAGTTATTCCAATTTTTGTAAATATTTCCATATCTTTTAAACTGTTTTGTGATTTTACTCATTTGAATGCGCATCCAATAAGGCATGCTAGCATTCAAAAAGGCTTACTTCACCAATGCGTTTCAACCATGTATTTTACTTATTCGGGGAGTAACAGGGTATACATGTAAATACAAAATAGATGAAGAAAAGGTAAATATATTCTGTCTCTAAACCTGCAATTATCAACAATAAAAATGATAAACATATTTAACTGTTTTGTTGTATTATCCGAGTACAATGTATAGCATCGAGATAAAATAAAACCTGGAAGGTGGAACACCTCCTTAAATTGAACACATTGCCCATTTATATGAAATATAAAATGAACCTCCGTGAGTGGAACACCACTCGGTGGAAAACTGTTTTGAGGAACCACTTACAAGATGAAGAACAGGTTTCAAACTTCAAATCTCCAAATTAATCAGATCAGTTTTGTCACATCTGTAATCAGTTTTGTCACATCTGTTCTGTCAGAATCTCCAATTGTGAATATCCTTTTTTTAATGTGGATATCTTTTGATGTTAAGAGGCAACAATTGCAAACAATTAAATAGTTCATGGTGTCCTGAAAGTATATGACTCCCCTAGGCAGACAATTTACCAATCTCCGTGGTATGTATCATACATCATTTTAAAGCTTATCCAAAGTTGCATTGATTTACCAAGTATCATGGTTCAACTCACAAATGGGAGAGTTACAGGCATTTCAAAATTTAGTGATTGGCCAAAATTAAAGTTCAGTTAACTGAGACTGGCAAAACACAAAATTCAATACTTAATGATGAATAATAGGGATCTTATGCTACAGTAAACATTTTTTGGGTCATCCTAGTCATGACATTTGGCTTATTAATGTTACTTTGAATTTTCATCAAAGAGGGGGGTAGTGGTGAGGCACACCTACTGTGGGTATATCTGCCTATGAGGGGTCCCATACTTTTGGGACACCATGTATGTAGGTAAAATACACAAATGTGTATTTGAAAACTAGACAACAGCAACGCCAAGACATGGCAAATCCCATCAAACTTTTCAAGTTACTGCGAAAATCGTGTGTAACGCCCACCATTTTCCAACATGGCTGCCATGTGTTTCTGAAATATCTACATTTTGACCTATATTAGTGTCTTATCAAACTTTTTACCTTGAAAACATATAAATATTACAGTTTTAAATACATTTTGTATTATCGCTAAAAAGATAAATGACACAAGTAAAATGTGATTCCTAAATATCTACATTTCTACCTTTATTAATGTCTTATTAAACTTTTTTATCTTAAAAACGTATAAATATTATAGTTTTTCAATTGTACCTAAATTACTGTTAAGTCGGCACCAAAATAGCCACCACTTTATATCAAACGGCCATTTTGAAAATCGACTTTTGAGCAGGACTTCTATTGTCATTTGGGCACATGTGTATAAAATATGAACAAAATCGGGCCGGCGGTATTTGAGTTATCACCCGGACAGACGTATGGATGGACAGAGGCATTCTCTATATCCCTCCAAATTTTGTTTGATGGGATAAAAAGCTCTTTATTATCTTTAACTCCCTGTAAAATGGTCAATATCTCAGGTGCAAGTAGCTAGTTACCAGTTTCACCACCAGGTGGCTCATTCGGGTCAGATAGCATGACAGGTATACGAGAAAGTTCCCTTGAACTTAAATATTCAGTTTTAGTGGTTCAAATTTCATATCATCCTTAGGTATCTAATAGATATATGTAAATTAAAACATGTCCAGTAAAAGAAAGTATTATCTGTCCAATAAAGAAGATATTTCACTTTTTGTGATTTTATAACATGGGATCTATGGGGAATCGACCTGAACTAGAGGTCACATTTTCAAAAAAAAATTTTTAAAGTTGAAACCATGTTTCTAGAAGTACTTTAATTTACATGTAGATTTCAAATATGACATCACTTTGACTGAATTCTGAATATTTAACGACGTAAATTAAGATTATTTCTACTCATATCAAGTCTATTCAACATATTCGATGTAGAAGATTGATAAAATAAAGATCAATAGACTTGAGAACTGCCAAAAGATGGTATAAAATTCAGAGAATTCCAACAAGTTGTACAATGTATTGTATGTAATAAATAATGTGACAAGTCCATTTTCTCGGTATTTAACAAAGATATATACAATATCATATATTAACACAATGTTCATTATAAGTACATACATACATAACATCAAACAAACCTTTATAGTTTTTATTCTTCTTTATTGTTTTTAAAATATATTTCATAAATTATACATTCATAACTTCATCTGAAACAGTAACTATCGGTGCTTACTGACAGATAATTATGAGACACAAATGAACACTGACTTAACTGCTAAATACATACAATGATTACTTTTTTACTACATAATGAACAATTATTGCAATTCCTCACCCTCGGTATACTTATGAGCTTGAGATAGTGGATTTGTTTGGCACATTGGAGCTGAACTAGTTTGGTATAACATTACAATCAATTTTGAAATCAAATGTCCAACTCTGTATATCACATATGTCCAGCTATTTGGAGGGGGGGGGGTATCGAAAACAATACATTCTACAAAATAGTACAGTGTGAGACTCACAATACTTGATTTTCAAACATCTGGTAGGTTTAAAATTCAAACTATCACTTTTGCAGAATGTATTGGTTTCAGTACCCCCCAAATAGTTGGAAATGCATGTACATGTACATATAAGGTGTGTTCTTGAGAAGTAATAAATCTGGTCCAGATTGAAACTGCTGTAGAATATCAGATTTTGGAACATCAATATATAGGGGTTATGCACTGGGAGGTTTTGGATAGAGAGAATATCCCGAGGGATATACAATATATCTTCCCGAGGGACCGAAGGGACCAAGGGAAGATGTATTGTATATCCCAAGGGATATTTCCTGTATCCAAACCGACAGTGCATAACTGTTGTATTCCATACATATAAATTTTTTTTCACATTATTTGCATAATTTTTTTTCTAATTTTTTTTTTCAAAATTTTTTAAACATAATTTTTTCCACAATTTTTTCAAATTTTTATTTTCAAATTTTTTCCCAAATTTATTTTTCAAATTTTTTTTTTTGAGCGGGACATACGATTTATATGTCCCGGAGCTCCGTTGGAGCGGGACATACGAAAAATATTTGCCCGGATATAGAATATATTCCCGGTTGATATGTCCCTGAAACCTCATCAGGTATGGAATACATTGTTCTACAGCCCTCAATGCCAGCAAAAAATAAAGGTTCATCCCTCCACGCACATTCACATTTAATCAAAACATTCCCATTTTAACAGTTTTTATTAATATGTTTAGAGGAATTATATAAGTATTTCCTTCATATCCACTTCTACTCAAGTATATGAGAGGTACCATGTGAAACAATATGGGTGAGCAATGAACTTGAAAAACATCTGAAACTCTGAAACCCATATTGTTAATGTGGGTGCACTCTTATCAATCACGTAATTTAGTACCCAGTGATTGTAATGGAAGGCAAAATCACATCCCTTAGGCATGTTAGGCCCAAATATAATTCATTTGAGACTTTCTTTCAAATATTTTTGGGGGCCCCCTCATCAAGTCTACCAGATCAATCACATCTCCTTTATTGTTTTCAATCTAAATAGAAGAATATATATTCTTTTCTTAAACAATATCTCATTATGCTGATTTATAAATAGGATAATTGAACAAAGTAAACAATTCCTAATGTACATTTTTACTTGACATACAATACTTTAACTTCTTCAGGATCCAAGATAAGATTTACTTAAAATTCCAACTTTCAATTTTCTCATATGTCTATGTTATTAGGTCAATCATTTCACAGTAAGGCATGTCTGTGCAAACTGGGCACAACAAGCGTTATGTCGATGATGCTATGACAACACAAACAATGCAACAAAAACAAGACATTGTCATGATGAAATGTTACCACTTGATAAGTTATTGCATGTACTTCCTAAATAATATAAAATCTGTTACAGACTTAGATTACTGTCAATTTTGAACTGCCAATTTTGCAATCCATCATTAAATGATACTTCTCAACGGTACCCAGATTTTCAAATCTATTGAGTAACAAGGCATTAACATACAAAATGTCATCATCTGCCATTTGTTACAGACGCCAAACTCCGAGCTGCCGTCACAAAAAATGGACTATAACATAAAAAGTGACTGCCTGTTGACAATGAGGAAACACATGTCTCAAATGCATACTGTGAATGAACTCAAATAGAATGTTAGATTAGACTGAAGGATACAAAATCTATGGAAAAATAATACTATGAGAAATACTTCCAGATTAAGAACATTATAATACAGGTAAAAATCATGCCTCCATATAAAATAAATCGATCTACATAGGCTCTTTTTTCAATCATTCGCATTACAGTGTTACTCAAACCAAGCGTATTAGCTACATCGAGAATCTTCTTATGTGCTCCTTTAAGTGTAGATCTCTGATCCCGTAAGCTGGATATAACATTTGAGCCAGTGTCTAACATTTCGTCCATACCCCTGTGTGCACTATGGAGACGTGTGTTATGTTGTAAATCATGGTCCATTTGTATAGCTGTGGCCTGATCAGCATCATTGGTTGTAAATCTATGGGATAATAGAGCTTCTCTCTCACGCTCCTCTTCTTCACGCTGATACCTGCAAGTTTTATAAATGTTAACAAGGCATTAATATGACTAAACATCACCTCCTGATTGGAATTACAAAAGTGTAACAATTTGTTGATGTTGACACCAATAACCAAACATCAATTACAAAAAAACTGTGGCTAAGGTATTCACATAATGAGATGAAGCCAAACCTAGTGAAATATCTCAATTTTATGACTGATTTCCTGTAATTCTCAACCATGTCAACTGTGTGGAGATATAATCAGGTAGATCATGCCATCTGTTTTAGTAAAAATTATAATATTACTGGCCAAAAAGAATTTTCAAAATCGTCTACCAATTTTGTCTTGCTACCTACTGTTGCAAATAAAAATAAAAATATCATGAATCAAGCCAATATACTCAAGCAAAGGTTTTTCATAAATGTCTTTAGTTAAAGACCTTTTGCTTGTCAATTGGCAGCCCAGCAGTTTTCAAATTTTAAATTAAGTAGCAGTAGCACCTGTTTTTATGGGGGGAAGGGAGATCATGGACAATGGCATGAGCATACACAATTGCATATACAGGGTTCCACCTGTGTTTTGATTAACATTTCACATATTAAACCCCTATCATTTATTTCAAGTTAATTAAACTGAAACTACTTGTCCATTTAAGTTTATTGATGCTTTGTAGATCCATTTCTTTTTTCCATTCAATATATTGTCAAGGCAATTAGAATAAAAATGTTCTTCATAAAGGTCAATGTTTCAAAAAATTGCTGCTGATATTATGTACTAGTATTCACCATTTTTAAAAGGCTCTTTAAATGAGACAGAAAAATTCAGAATGTTAAGTCAAATCAAATTCCCACCTTTTGTGTTGTAAATTTCTTACAGCTGCTTGCAGGTGCTGGCAGTCATATTTCAGTTGATCAACTCTAAGTTTGGCATTAGCTCTTCTTGTTGGAGGCTCCTTATTTACAAGTGATTCTAACCTCTCACAGTTACTAACAATTGCATCAATACGAGCCTGTACTTCATTTTCCACTATATGGATGTCATCTCCTTAAAAATAATACTTAAAAATAAACTACACTGACTGCCATTTACAATATTTATACAATATTTATGTATATTAGTTTGTGGTAGGTTCTAAAATGTTCTGATTGTTAGATAAAACATAAGTCTGAATCAATTCATTAATGTCAACCATAACATGAGCCAACTATTATTCTTGAGAAAATACCAGAGGAGAATATGGTCCAATTGGAATTCCATTCAAACAATAGTCATGATCCAACTAGCTAAAGATACCAATACCATAGACCCGGACCATAGACGTCTGATGGGGTAGTACATTGGGTGCGACTGCCCCTCCCTTTTTGAGCTGATTTCTAGATGCTTTACCCCAGGGATTTTGCATGGTGCTGAGAAACTTCAGAGGAAAGAACTGTGTGCTCTGGTGAAAGAGGTGGAGAAACAAACCAATTGAAACCTACTATGATGGTGGCTGCTACTTTTTTTTATATAGACATACCCCCCTGGATTCTTGACTACATCATGATCATGTAGTCTGAAATTTTTGGAATGAAAATAGTCTCTAGTCAGTCTAGTCAGAGACATATAATAACAATTCATGCCTCTGGTCTGTCGGATACAGACTACTTCTTGTTGCGTGTTAAAAAAGGCAAGAACTTAACTTCGACATATAAGTGTTACCTGATGAATGGGACCCTCACGTGCCTTCGAAATGGTAGTAAACAAACTCCAATGTAACTTTAAGAATTAGAGGGTTTTCTTTTGCACCATTGCACCCCCCAGATTTAAATCATAATCAAAACAATTCAGGTACCAACTATTGAAAATAGAGTAAGATTGATTTGTCATATTATAAATTGGCTTTCTAATGATATTTAACTTAATATGTCATATATTCATATTTTTTTCGTTTTTTGGGTACCCAGCTTTTTCTACAGGGTACCAGGTACCAAGTTTGAACCCAGCATGGAGGATTTACTACCCGGTACCCGGTATTTTCTACAAATCCATTTGTCTGATGCTCGGATGTTCGCATTTTATTTAGCTCTCGTAGAAATGAACGAACAAACATTCCATTTTCACACATGTTCGATAATATAACGTATCATTCATAACTTCCGGAAATGACAAGCCAGTCGGAAAATTTTGGGGAATTTTTTCAGTTCGTTTACATTTCTTGTATAACTGTACTTATTGTTGATCGGACGGAAAGATAAGCTGATGTAGTTACATTGGAGTTCGTTTACTACCATTAGGAAGGCAGGTGAGGGTCCCATTCATCAGGTAACACTTATATGTCAAAGTTAAGTTCTTGCTTTTTTTAACATGTAACCAGGAGTACCATCAATTCAACCCCTTGGGGAAAAATCATGGGATACCATTGAATACTTCGATGTTCAAGTGTGGCCTAGCTTGGGATCTGTATGTGTTGCTATGGGAAAGTATCCATCATTTCCGTAACAGTCAATTATACAAGAAGTGAATATAAAACAAAAAATTACCTTTGGCCCTCTCCAATCTCCCAAGTCCATTTTGAACATCATGGACCATACGGTTTGTTTGATGGTAAAGTGCTTCCATTCTTTACCTATTCGTTAATGTAACTGTTTTGTTGGATTAAGAATATGTACTCTATCTAAAATTCTAATGCAATTGCATGATTTCGATCTAGAACAGATGGTTTTCGGTAAAATGTACAACGAATTTTGAAATTCTTACGTGTCTTTGTAAACCGGAAGCTCTAATTGACCTTGACCCCGAGATTTCTACTTCCGTGTTTTGAAAGAGAGACACATTATTGATAAAAAACTAAGTGTTGACATTGGCAACTGATTATTGATATTCTATTGCATTATGAAGGTAATTGTATGATAATTTTTGTATATTCCTGTCATTGCATTTTACCCTGGAAACTAGAAAGCAGGTAAGCAATGTATTGTCTTATTTACTCGAGTCTCTAACCAAGGAGGAATATGGTAATGTCTTAGTATCATAATCTATCTGAATTGAAAATAAATTCATATCACTGGCGGATAAGGGGGGGGGGCCAGGGGCCCGGGCCCCCCCCCCCTTGGGTGGGCCCAGAAAAAAAAAATTGGGCCCAAAAAAATTTTTGGACCAAACAAGGCCTTCAGGCCCCAAAAAGTGGGCCTTTTTGGTCATTACTGGGCCTTTTAAGGCCTTATTTGTTAATTTCAGGCCAAATTTTGAAGAAAATGGGCCTCAAAATTTCAAAATTTGGGCCCACTTTTGGATTTTAGGGGCCCAAAATTTTTTTCCGCGCAAGCGCAGACGTTTTTTCTCTGACCTGAAATTTGGCCCCCCCCCCTTGTTGGTTCCTGGATCCGCCCCTGCATATGATAGTGTACATTCAAATTTTACATGTAAAACGTTTTATATCAGAGGCATCGGAACAGATAGAATTACTATGCAGTACAAGGAGGATTGGCTCCCAGAGTGCACCACCGATATTCTGTCCCATATATGGGTATGTCGTAATACAAAATTCGAATTCAAACAGCCGCCATTTTGTTCACTTCAACATTTAAATCGTGAATTTTGGTCTTATTTCCAAACGAAAAATTCCAAAACTCACAAGAAATGATCGAGATATTGGTTCGAATCTTTTGAACTGTTTATTTTGAATTTATAGTCGGTTTTAATTTCAGAAAATAACGACATTTCGACGTTTTCATTGTTGGAAAATATCGAGTTTCGATCCTGGGAGCCAATCCTCCTTGTATGCAGTAGGTAAATAATATTATTCACTTCGTATAGAGAGTGGGGGGCTATCTCAGATCTACATGTATATCTGTTCCGATCTGTGATATACAGAATATACACATGATTTGTATATGTATGTTGAGACCCCGTGCAAATGCATTGTATTTTACTTTGCAGATAGAGATACAGTTGACTAATATACAGAATGAGGTCCAATTTACTACATTGTATGTTAAACATTTGAGCAGACTTAGACTTACTTGAATTTGCTACATTGTATGAAGATAGAGGACGGTACAATTTGGCTACAGTTGTATGAAGATAGAGGTACAATTGGCTACAGTTCTATGAAGATAGAGGTGCAATTGGCTACATTGTATGAAGATAGAGGTACAATTGGCTACAGTTATATGAAGATAGAGCTTCAATTGGCTACAGTTATATGAAGATAGAGCTTCAATTGGCTACAGTTGTATGAAGATAGAGGTACAATTGGCTACAGTTGTATGAAGATAGAGGTACAATTTGGCTACAGTTGTATGAAGATAGAGCTTCAATTGGCTAAAGTTGTATGAAGATAGAGGTACAATTGGCTACAGTTATATGAAGATAGAGTTTCAATTTGCTACAGTTGTATGAAGATAGAGGTACAATTGGCTACAGTTGTATGAAGATAGAGCTTCAATTGGCTACAGTTGTATGAATATAGAGGTATGATTGGCTACAGTTATAGGAAAATAGAGGTTCAATTGGCTACAGTTGTATGAAGATAAAGGTACAATTGGCTACAGTTGTATGAAGATAGAGGTGCAATTGGCTACAGTTATATGAAGATAGAGCTTCAATTGGCTACAGTTGTATGAATATAGAGGTACAATTGGCTACAGTTATATGAAGATAGGGTTTCAATTGGCTACAGTTGTATGAAGATAGAAGTATAATTGGCTACAGTTATATGAAGATAGAGCTTCAATTGGCTACAGTTGTGTGAATATAGAGGTATGATTGGCTACAGTTATAAAAAAATAGAGGTTCAATCGGCTAGATAAAGGTACAATTGGCTACAGTTGTATGAAGGTAGTGGTGCAATCGACTACAGTTGTATGAAGATAGAGGTGCAATTTGGCTACAGTTGTATGAAGATAGAAGTACAGTTGGCTAATTGTATGAAGATATAGGTACAGTTGGCTAATTGTATGAAGACAGAGATGCAGTTTGCTACATTGTATTCAGGACCATGAAACTGGAGAAAAATGAAAATGAGAGATATACATTCATTTTTCACGGAACTTACCTCTGTACTAAAATTCTGCATTTAATGCTAGTGTTTCCTAGAACATCTAGAGAAAACATCTGATCATTTTGTGATGAGAAGAATTTACTGTTTTCTAAGAAAGTGACAAGTTAGAAGTCCACCGCCTAAATTAGCCTTTGCACTGATCGCTACTATACACGTTATAGTATGTTTGTAAATTCATTCCCCAATTCAACATCTGAATATGGACCTCCACCTCTTGTCATGCAAGTGGATAAAACTGAGTTACCTTATTCTTCGGCAAGAGGGTGGCAAGATACTCGAGTAAAAACTGAGGACTTTACAATGACTTTAAATAATATTCGGAATGATGATAATTATCTTACACCAATGCAACATAAACTGTGTTCCCTAGTTATGACATTGGGGTACAACAGCTGTACTGTAAATGATGTCTGGATTAATGGTTCAAATAATGATACAAACACTGCATCAATTAAGTGCCGTTCTCAAGAAATGTATGATTTTTTATACAATCAGTTCCAAGATGAGGACAGAGTAAGACAGAATCCAGAGGTGAAAAATATACTGAAAGATAATTCATACTTTGTGGATATAGAAGAATATATAATTCCATCACCATCAGACATGTCAGAACAAGATGTAGGTGATATAATGTCATCAGAGAGTTACACCTATCGATCTTACTTAGGAGCTGAGACTAGAAATGTTGAATTCAAGAAAGGCGGGGGTGGATACATACAAAGGTACCTAAGGGATGATATTGAGAAATACACAGTTGCTTTTCTAAATTCTCATTCAACGGGTAGCTTTTTACTAATAGGTGTAACAGATGATGGTTACATTGAGGGAGTTCATGTGAACCATGCTAATGAGGATCATATAAGGAAATCAATTATTGACCCTGCAATGAAGGCTATCACTGGTACGCCATCTATCCTGTATGTCTCACCTGATATGTATCGAGTTGATTTCGTACCAGTCATGGACGACCGTAAACGAGGTACACATAGTTTTTATTTACTTGTATGTTTTGTATTTGAGTCTTGTTTCATGCCTCCCTCGCCGTGTCAGCTCAAAATCACAAAATTAGTTGGTTAGGGAATCCAGAGGGGAGTTCCGAGATTCAAATTATATTGTAAGCCTTAGAGTTCATCCTTCATTGCTCTTTCAGTTCAAGCACTCATCATTGATTTCTGAGTTGCAAATCCAAGATGCTCTGATATAATAATTTGGAAGTTGATAGAACATTCTAGTATAATTCTAGTGACCGAGGGAAATGCATTGATAAACGGTTTTTCCAAGAAAGTTGCTGAATTTCTAGTTCACCTATTTCAGTGATTCGAGACCAAAAAGTTATTAGGATCAAAGTCTGTTCCAGTTCAAGCAGAGATTTAGAGGATTTGTATGCCACCAGCAGGATGGAGGTATATGAACGTCTAGATGGAAGTGTTACTCTCCTGGATCCTCTCAAGATTCAAACACGTTTAAAAGAGGTAAATTTTCAAATTATGTTTGAGTAGAATTTTGTAGATGCATTCTTATGTCAGAAAAAATAGTTTTGTTCAACCTATTTTCTCTCAAAACAGATGGTTTTCACAAATGCAAAGACTATTAATAAGTATAGTATTTATCTTTAAATATGGCCATTTTTCATGAACCGTACATGTATGTTAAGCTAATTGTTTTTCATTTCAGATGTTGCAAAAATCATTCAAGGAACAAAAGGAAATTATGAATGAGTCGCATAAACGAGACCTTGAATTAAAACAAAAGGATTTTGAGCTAGAGACATTGAAAATTCAAAATGATTTACATAAAGAGTTAGAGACATTGGAAATTGAAAAGGATTTACATAAAAGAGACCTAGAATCGAAACAAAGGGATTTGGAGCTAGAGAGATTGAAAATTCAAAATGATTATCAATCGAAACTTCAAGATCAAGCTTTAGAATATCAAATGAAGTTGAAAAATAAAAAATCTGCAATTTGTGCTATTATGTAGGGCCTAGTAAAATACATATACTTCAAGTTCTTATCTATAAATAACATAGATCCAGTGCAATGATATAGGTTAATTAACTTAATATAAAGTTAAAACTATTTAGATGTACGAGGGTTGTCCCAGAAGTAATGCACTATATGCTCTAACTTCATCAATAATTGATATTTGTCCATGAAATTTTCAGTAAATGTTCCTTAGAGACATTTTGATTATTCTAAAAATGTTCATGTTGATTGATAAAAATATATTGATGTTGTGATAAAATCAAGTTGGTGAGTTTGGGTAGGGCGGGGCAGGTTTTGCAGTCAAGTCAAAAGGAATAAAAAATTGAAAATATGAAATAATTAATCAACAAATACCATTTGGTGTAGCTATAAGAACTATGCTCAAAAATATATTTTAAGATACTAAATTACTATGTGCACATCCTAGATTTAATGAATGTATATTGCACAGTGTCCCATTTCACATTTTCTCAAAATATTGCCCTTTGCCCTACTTTTGATGCCTGTCAGGTCAAACACTCTCAGCAGTTTCTTCCAGTGTGACTTGTGGAGTTTTTGCCTCCCATGTTTGGAGTTGTCATACAGGGTTAAATCGTCTCTTTTAAATCTCTTCTACCATTCCATAATTGTAGTTCTATCTGGTATATACTCCTTATATACTTTCTTCATGGTAGCATTGTTTTGCGTGACTGTGAGGTCAAGTAAAGTATGAAATTAGGCCACCAAATGCAAGACCTTCTGTTATCAGGTGAGAATTGCAGCCATTTTTGCAATTTCTTGACTGTGACTGTATTTGAATTCGTGACTATTGAAATGTGATATTATGACATCACAGTGCTAAATGTCATTATTTGTACTTGGTTAACATCATGCTGAATAAATTTAACAATTTCCCAAACATTTTGATCATTTTAAGGAAAGAAATATTAATAAAATAACACTTTAGATCTTTTCATAATAAGAAAAATTGGTACCTGCCCCGCCCACCCCTACCCCCATGTTGTTATAGCAACCATCTTAAGACTTAATATTAATGTTGGATGCTAAAACTTCAGGATATAATAGATAAAACTTCAATTGTTATATACACAATATTCCAGCTGAATTGAAGAATATTAAAGAAAGTTAGAGCATATAGTGCATTACTTCTGGGACAACCCTCGTAATTCCAAAAGTATTTTCAGAGAAGAATGCCACGTGTTGTTACCGCCACTATATTTTATCTTACGTGCACTCGTTTTATGCAAGGACTTTACATAAAAGAGACCTAGAATCGAAACAACGAACAAAGGGATTTGGAGCTAGAGAGATTGAAAATTCAAAATGATTATCAATCGAAACTTCAAGATCGAGCTTTAGAGTTTCAAATGAAGTTGAAAAATAAAAAATCTGCAATTTGTGCTATTATGTAGTAAAATACATATACTTCTTAGCTATAAATAACATAGATCCAGTGCAATGATATAGGTTAATTAACTTAATATAAAGTTAAAACTATTTAGATGTAATTCCAAAAGTATTTTCAGAGGTTTTTCTTTTTAAAGTATGCCACGTGTTGTTACTGCCACTATATTTTATCTTACGTGCACTCGTATTATGCACTTCATTTACTTTTTGAATTACGCAATCTACATGTATTCCGTCCATGGATAATACCTTCAGTGGTAGCATTCCCTACATAAATCCAATGACCATGGATTCTAAAACTTGTGTCTTAATGTTTATTAGATGTAAGTGTACCATTACTCAGCTGTATTTGATGCATATTTGAAATAATATATTGTAGCGTTTGCGGGTATTTACAATTTGTATTTAAACATCGCAGCTACATTTCTTTCCTTCACTTACGTTCGTTTCCATTCAGAAATATTTCTTGTAAATTTCAGTACGATAATTTAGTCATCATTTTAATTGTTAGCGATCTTTTTAATCACCGTTTTCAGCATATTTATTAACTCTGTAGCTTCCTTTATTTATCTGTATGCATATTCTTACGCAATGTTCAGTATTTTGTAAGTATTTCATTCTAATAGACACATTTATAAACTTTTCATGGGCGCCGCCATTAATGACGTCACATTTCCCACAGTGCACTTCGTACTGATTGCGGGAAATTCAAACAGAGGAATGACGTCAGATTCTAAGAATTAAAACTGTGACGATAGAACGCTGCATATCAGCGGGAAAAAAAGACTTCAGCTAGATTTCAAAGAGTGAGGACGTATTGTCGAATTCTCTTCATGTAACTTCATAAATCATGTACTTTTTGGGGGGAGGGTTGTAAATATCAAATAAACTCTTGTAAATATGTTAACCAATAAGCTAGTCTGTAGTCTTTTGTATGGATTTCAAGTGAGAGCAAGTATTGCCACGGGACTTGGAACATTTTCCGTGGCTGAGCCCATGTTTTATGATCATGATGTAGTTTATCCCTACTTGATCATATGTGGTTTATCCCCACATTATATCCTGTTATACTTGTGATGTTGCCTTATCTGTGGTCTATCCCCACTGGCATAATTTTCACAATGCAGTTTTATATGCAGAGAATCAGATGTGATAAGCAGTTATCACCGTATCAATCAATCAATGTTAAATCATGATCGTATGCAGTGTGTCGCTTTATTTATCACATTTGCAATGCTGTACAGAGTGACCCACTATATTGGTAACTCGTGAATATTGCTGCTTATAGCAATAATAATGCTGTATTCCAGTAGCTGTTAATCCCATAATATCACACATTCCATAAATTTACAGACACTACCACACAATACCATTATACTTCAATTCTGAGACATGCATTCATAACAATCATATTATTTGGCACCCCGGCTATACTACAATTTGGTGGCAGTGGTGGGATCTCAAACCAGTAATACTGGGTGTCCAAATAATTCCTGACACACCAATATGTGTGTTTCCAGAAACCAGATGTCCAGAATAAGCTTTGAATGAAATACTGAGATGATCAATGTTTCTAGTACCGCTGACAGACATGCTACATGTATGTCATGTATATGGTCTGCTGACGAGTAGATTCATTTTTACATGTTACTACATACAGTACTTTGTCTTCCAGTTACTCCAGAGATGTCAGAATCTTCCATACCAGCTTCTGCTAATTGGGTATAGACCTTATCCAGTTACCACAAAGCTGATGAGCGTAGTTTTATGGGATCCAGAAGTCCAGTCTCCAGGAATCCAGAATATCATTTAATGAGCTGATTAGTTACACAGCGTTATAACTGGTCATAATCCGGTTACTCGAGACCCGTCAGAGTCCATACGAGTAGTTTCCAGAATTCCTGATATCGAAGCGAATATGGAAAGTGAGCAACAGGCGAAACACACTGCCAGCATGCGTGTGCCAGCAATACCACATGATGAAGAGTATACATATCCAGAGCCGTTCCAGTCTAGCAATCTTAATGAAGATGCCATGTTCAGATTAGATGAGATTAGAAAATGTATCAAACTTCTGCACAGTGAAGAAGAGAAGATCCTCCAGAACAAGAATACAACTATCAATATTAGTGAAGTTCCAGTTCCAGAAAATGATGCTGAAAGATATAATAATGAAATTCCAGTCAATGAAATCATGTCAAGCTATGAATATTGTGTTCCAAATGAACAGAACGAAATAAAAAGCATACCATAGAGTATTGCGCTGCAGGTGAGCAGCATGTAAATAAAAAGCATACCACAGAGTATTGCGCTGCATGTAAGCAGCATGTAAATAAAAAGCGTACCACAATGCTGCAGAATTGTGAGTATTGCGCTGCAGGTGAGCAGCATGTACAAAGTGTAAAGGTTGGTCTACCATCAAACAAGCGTACCATGAAAGATCATGAGTATTGCGCTGCAGGTGAGCAGCATGTACATACTAGTGTAAATAATATGGGTAGATCTAGTGGTTCAAATCTACTGGATTTTAATGAAATACCCATTCCAGATCCAAAGCCGGACCAGTCCTTGGGTATAAAGAAACCATTTAGAGATAACCATCCAGTTACGGAGGTACTGTTACGTCCTGATGAAGTGTCCCGAATGAGGTATCCATAGACAGCTCCCTCTTTAAACCCGTCCAACATGTCCAATGATGTGTCCAATACATCAAGCCAAAAAGAGAGAAAGATAAAACAATATGATGGGAAGACAAGTTGGAAAGCTTTTAAATTTAAATTTGACATTATAGCAGATATCAATGAGTGGAATGAGCGAAGACGTGCCATTGAACTATTAACATGTCTTGATGGCATTGCAGAGAAAATCTTCGATATAATCGAACCTTCCAGAAAATATGACTATCAGTATGTTTGTGATACAATAAAAGGCATGTTTGATACTGACTTCCAAGAAGAGAAATATCGTAACCAACTCAGACAGCGTATGAAACTTAAAAGTGAGAATGTTAACACTTTTGGGCATGATGTCATACGTCTTACTAATTTGAGTTTTCCTGCATTATCAGAGAATTCCAGAGAAGCAATTGCATTGGATATCTTCAAACATGCATTACAAATATCAGACTCTAAAATCAGTTATCATGTTTTCTCCAAAGACCCTAAAAACATGCGAGATGCAATCAAGGCAGCCATCCAGATGGAGTGTTATACTGATGACAGGCCAACGCACATAGACATCACAGAGAACAACGTCATAAATTCTTTTTCTGCAATGTTTGCTGACAATGGCCATACTCAGTCAACAAAGCAGTCCAAGAATGTACCTGCAAGATGTTATTACTGTAATTTTATTGGCCATTATGCCAAAACATGCAGATTTAAATGTGCAGATGCTGACAAAGGCTATATCACTCCTGATTATATTGGTAAAAGACTTTCAAAATTGTGGTCTAAATAGCTGGGAAGATGCAGCCTAAGACTTCATCACAAAGCAGATGAGATGTTACCTATAATATAAATTCCATAGATGAAAGAGCAGAAGAGACAACCCACAAGCCCAGTGGAAAGATGACCTACAAAATAACAAGACCAACAACAGGAACAAACACAATGAACAATGACATTTAGTGTGATAAGTGCAAACATACACCAGTGATACACAATTTAAAGGACTATGTTTAAATAAAATTCATGACACTTCGGGACGAAGTGTATAAAAGAGGGGAGCAATGTAGCGTTTGCGGGTATTTATAATTTGTATTTAAACATCGCAGCTACATTTCTTTCCTTCACTTACGTTCGTTTCCATTCAGAAATATTTCTTGTAAATTTCAGTACGATAATTTAGTCATCATTTTAATTGTTAGCGATCTTTTTAATCACCGTTTTCAGCATATTTATTAACTCTGTAGCTTCCTTTATTTATCTGTATGCATATTCTTACGCAATGTTCAGTATTTTGTAAGTATTTCATTCTAATAGACACATTTATAAACTTTTCATGGGCGCCGCCATTAATGACGTCACATTTCCCACAGTGCACTTCGTACTGATTGCGGGAAATTCAAACAGAGGAATGACGTCAGATTCTAAGAATTAAAACTGTGACGATAGAACGCTGCATATCAGCGGGAAAAAAAGACTTCAGCTAGATTTCAAAGAGTGAGGACGTATTGTCGAATTCTCTTCATGTAACTTCATAAATCATGTACTTTTTGGGGGGAGGGTTGTAAATATCAAATAAACTCTTGTAAATATGTTAACCAATAAGCTAGTCTGTAGTCTTTTGTATGGATTTCAAGTGAGAGAAAGTATTGCCACGGGACTTGGAACATTTTCCGTGGCTGAGCCCATGTTTTATGATCATGATGTAGTTTATCCCTACTTGATCATATGTGGTTTATCCCCACATTATATCCTGTTATACTTGTGATGTTGCCTTATCTGTGGTCTATCCCCACTGGCATAATTTTCACAATGCAGTTTTATATGCAGAGAATCAGATGTGATAAGCAGTTATCACCGTATCAATCAATCAATGTTAAATCATGATCGTATGCAGTGTGTCGCTTTATTTATCACATTTGCAATGCTGTACAGAGTGACCCACTATATTGGTAACTCGTGAATATTGCTGCTTATAGCAATAATAATGCTGTATTCCAGTAGCTGTTAATCCCATAATATCACACATTCCATAAATTTACAGACACTACCACACAATACCATTATACTTCAATTCTGAGACATGCATTCATAACAATCATATTATTTGGCACCCCGGCTATACTACAATATATAGAATTGAAGGATTATTGTTTTATTTATTATAGTGCCCCACACATAATTTTGTCGCCTACTTCAATGTGTTGTAGAAAATATCCAACGAAAATTGGCTCATGAAATTTTGCATACCCATTCTTGAGACAATTGGTAACACTCATTTTTTTGTTTGAAGATTGAAGTAATTTTGACAAAAAACAAGCAATTTTAAAATATTTACAGGGTGGTCCAAAAAAGTGAACCCTTGCAACAGGCTATATTTTCCTTAATACATCCATGAATTGGCTCATATTATCACATGTTGTAGAGAAAGGTCTAAAATATTTGTTGATGCGATAAATTTTGAAGAAAGTACAAGACAAACAAACATGCATGAAAATTAGATTAGCAAATTTTACCAATGTAATTAATGGAAATTGTTGAAACACAGGTATTCTTAAAAGAGCTTTCAGTTAGAGATACAAGTTTAAAACCCTACCATATGACGAATGGGATACTATTTGAGCAGAAAACACATTCCACACTTTCATTGATTATTTTGAAGCAGTTTTAACTGTTCAACAGTTAAGGGCCATGCTACCTACACAATTGGATAAAGTGGGACAACGTTCCCCCTGTGACCAGGAGTCTGAGAAGCCCTTCATCAAATATCTTTAGAAAATCAAAAGAAAATCTAATGTTTTGAGGCACAATTCACTAGAATCGGAATGTTTTACGAAAATTCAACGAAAAGTTCCAGTTTCACGGTTTCGAAGAGACTTTTAAACGTTTTGATTACAAACGTATTGCATTACATACAGTCTGTTCAATAATATTGATACTATGGAGATGTTTTAACTCCTTAATATGAATGTTTAAGTATGTTTTAATTCCTATTGAAGACCCCTATTCCACACACGATCAGGTTAGGGCCATACAGTTTGTGGGTTTAGTCTGAAAAAAGTTTCCAGGTCACTAAAAGCTATCCTTGCATGGATTTCTAGCCCTTCTTCACACTACAGCATTTTCTACTTCATTTTTTCTCACTCGTTAAAAAAATTCGGACAGCTCGCATCTCATAAAATCTCTAGAACATACTTGGATTTTTTTTATTTCACCCAAGGCATCATTACAGTGAGCTTGCGCCCTTCAAAATCCCGTGGACCCACAATCGGATGGCCATGATCATCCAATAATGGCTCACCAAGTGGCCACCAATGGCATACATTTTGTTGGAAAGCATTGCCCGTAACATGGATTTAACATGTGGTCTTACGCTTTCATTGGTAACTTTCACCCCATCTAGTTGTTTCAGATTGGGCTTTAGTCGTGGATAATAGTGCTGCTGTTTGATAGGATTTTCCGATCGACCAGAATATTCAAGTTGTTTTTTCAAATTGTCACAAATTTTAGCTCGATTTAGGTTATATTTGTAAATAGGTAGCAATATAGAAACCAATGTCAAATTGTGGTGAAAACATATTATCCCAAACAAAAAATTGAGTGTTACAAATTGTTTTAAGTTATGGTATGTAAAATTTCATGAGCAAATTCTTATTGGATATTTTTCTACAGCACATTGAAGTAGTGTTATGTGCTAGGTACTATTGGCAAAAGTATAAGTAAGTAGTATAGTGAAACCTATATATCCGAACGCCTCTCTTGTTAACACATTTTCTTGGTCCCATATTTGTTATTTTCAAATTTTCAATTGCCTTATAAGTTTATAAAACCTTGAAATATGAACACCTGCTAATTCGAACACTTTTGACTGGTCGCAGAGGTGTTTAGATTGTACAGGTTTTACTGGAGATTGAATTATTTATACAATAAAATTTTATTATGCCATATTTTGGCAAATTTTTTCTCTACAAATTACTAATCATTCATCTAAAATCTTGCTGAACTATTAGTTTTTAATGTTTCTCAAAAATTATTCTTGATATCATTGATGACGGATATAAACTGATCTTATAAGATCATTCGAAGTAAATTATATTTTAAAGCCCAGATACTCGTATGTGCGTTTGTGTTAAAAGAAACAAAATTACAACTGAAACATGAAAATGTGAGCTCTAGGAAACAAATGCATTTGAACGGAGTTCATAGAGTGAAAACAATATATCATAGGCCTATATGTTTTGATTCTATGAGGCCCCCTATCATTTTTAATCAAAAATATTAAAAGTCCCCATATAAAGTTTAAACCACTTTGGCTTATATTGTAGTCCTTACCCAATATTATCAAAGTGTGATATGTGAAACTTTTTTTTAATTTCAAAAAGTGGTTTTTGAAGGACTTTTTGTTCAAAAATTTGTGAATTTATTTAAAACTAACTTTTAGAGGCCACGTATATCTTTTAATAAGCCACAATTCATACCAATGCATAGCATTCATCCTCGCATGTTGTTGCCGAAAAAATTAAGAAAATCGGTTCATAAACAAGCGAGAAATGAACTCATCAGTGCATGCACATGGTTCTGAGAAAAATGCATTTCAATTTTAGTTCTTAACCTGGTTAGACAATCAACATTGGTTTATTATTGAAGTTTTTGCCACCTGAGTGAGTCATAATGACATCACTAATGTTGCAATATATTTTTGATATGCTAAAACATTGAAGTGGCCCATTAAATATGGCATTTTAATAGTGAAATAGTGTGTCCTTTGTTCAATCTTTGCATTGTTGTTAAAAAATATAATCTTTTTTGATGAATAAAAGTTTCAACTTTTTTTGAAAAATGGTGGGAGATTTGAATATTTGAGAAATGAAATGCTCACAACTTTTTTTCAAAAATTGAAAAATCTCTAAAATAACTTTTTAAGTCATGACAAATAGTAAATGAATAATAAAAAATATTTTCAAACTTTAGATGGAGACTTTAAGGGTTATTTAGGATGAGAATTACAGTAAATTCAGCCTTTAAAAGGTCCCATGACTTCAAAGGTGCATGATTAAGATGACTTAATAATATTTGGGGCTGAGGGACACATGGATCCGGTTTCCTTTGAACATTGTAGGGTACCGTGGTCTTCTGCCGCTGCCTCGTTTCAAATACCTCTCCATTGAGCCAAAAACTCATAGTACTATTTTTTTGTTATTATGTCATATCGTATTGTAAACCACACGGTTTTATGAGTCACATATGAATTTGTAATATTATGTCCAAATACTAAAAAGGGTTGCAGATATGACCAAACTTGAAAACATTTGCAGCACAGGAATAATGGATGAAGTCTGGAGCCCTGCGTTCGGAGCATGAGGAACTTCGCGTGAACTATTGGAAGAAGCGAGTCCCTTTGCCCTGGCCTCTGCTACCGCCTTATTAGGGTTGGCACCGGACGTGATGTCATATGTGAACTGCATGCATGGTTCATCATCGGGGACTACTTTGTAGGCATTGTTCCATACTTGCTCACAAAACATCTTTGCAGTTGTGAAGTGCTTGTCAAATTTGTCACACTTTGATTCCTCAAGACATACCATCATTCCTGAATATTCAAATGAATTAATCGTATTCCTTTGAGGGTTCCTATTACGTTTTATATTGTTGTAACAATATATTAGACAAAAAGGCGACAAATACATGTACAATAATATTGTTTTTAATATTGCTTGTTTTGATAATAGACCTATTCTGGAGACAATATTGACAAAGACATATTTGTGAATTCCAATATTATTATGATTCGCATCTTGATTATTGAACATCTCTGTTATTCCTCTGAGATAATCTTCTTTCAAACCGATCATATTGCGACCGCAAAACAAAAAAATAAATATCGTGTTATCGTCACACGTGAGATCATATATGAGATGGTGAATGAACAGTATTAGTGAAATTTAGTTACCATGTCAGTTGTTATAACCCATCGATCGTTTTCTGAGTTTTGTAGTCCATATTTAGGTGGTTAAGCTTGCATTTAAAATCGAAACGAAAACGTGTAACGTATCGAGCGCTCTGATTAGTCTTATATCGTCTTCTTGCTTAAATAACCGTTCAACTTCAGTGTTTATGCTTAGACTACACCACAGCATGCATGTAATATACCATAGGTAGTTCTATAGCTGGTTTACTGATACATATTTTAAACAAACGAGTTTGGTAAGATATTTGGAGCTAAAACATGCATGTCATACATCATCTTCCTCAGATACAATCCTATATCCTAAACAACGGCGAGCATCACCAAAAACAGGCGTTTGATTTGATAAATACGATATGCGTTACGCTTTAACACGCGTGTTTAAAGCGCATACAAACGCATGCCCGCACTACACATTCCTATTTTTGATTCTTGGGCTTTCCGTTAGTTTACGCCGTGAAAAAACAGTGCAAGCTTAACATCTCTTAGATGATGTCCGTATTCTTAAAAATAACTCAAAGAAAGATCATAATATCTAAGACTTTTCACCTGTTGACATGTTGAATCCGTAGTACCAGTTATCGGAGCAGGTGTGTTCCTCTTGACACGCGCTGTACCATAAATCACAAGTACTTTGACATATTGTTAGATTAACAAAGGCATCCTTTTTCTGTAATAAATTTAACAACTTGCAGGAATGTCCATTTCAAATAGCAAGCACAATAGTTTTCAATGTAACAACTTTTCGATGCAACAAATTTTGCAACCGATTTAACTTAATTACAAGTAATATTTATTTAGAGTATTTTGAAAACAAACAAAATGTATATTAATGTAGCAATGGTAATTTAGAGATTAGATTAGAGCAAGATCGATTTCTATTTGATTTCTAGCTTGCTGAGATAATGAGGTAGTATTTTTGCTCCGTATATTTAAAGAGGCTTTCGGAAACTCTTAATCTCTAAAGAATTATTAGCAGTAATATTGTTCATAAATACGACAGCATTGTACTTTTTAGGCAATTGGTAGATTGGGAGGTTTTTTTCTGCTTCAGTAAGCAATGATTAATATATTTTGATAATGAATCATGATTTTCGGAACAAACCCAAAACGAGAGGGGGGTATTTCATCTTCTTTCAGAAAGAACCTGATATAAACATACCCCATAATGGCCCGTCTTAATCCAAGGACCAACATCGGGGGAACAAAGGTAAAAGCATAACTCTTCTTCAAACCTCTGGTTGCATATTGGTGTCAGCGTTTCCTTCTGAGGACAGTGCGCATAGCTGAGTGTAAGGTTCTGCCAATGATCCGAGACACCCGTTTTACAACATGATCGGCTGGCAAATGTGGAACACGGACCGCCCTGAAATGAAATAACTTCGCAATCAAGTTTGCAACACAGGATGCAATCAGAAAAGAAACATCATCGTTAAAAGAGGGGGAAAACCATTTAGGCTCTTGTTAAAAGTCATGCAGTGGGTATTTGCAAAAAAGGTCGGAGTAAAATCTCTAACGTTGAAGAATTCTCTTACAAATCAACATAACCTCATGGAAAATAAGGGGAATTCTCCTTGAAAATCGATGAAGGAGTCTGACGTCAGGCCCGTAAGACACTTTTCTCCAAGGGGGGTGCGGTTTTTACTAAAGAGAATATAAAATTGTCAATTTTTTTCCGCGTAAATCAAATCGCATAGGTCAGAGGGGGGGGGGGGGGGGGGGGTCGGTTACTCCCTATATCCGTTTGGCATTAACAAATGCAACTTCAAAACGTTCCAATTGTTTTGTGGGGGTGTGAGGAGTGATCCACTCCCCCTAGAAAATTTTACAATTTTAAGATGCTGTTTGGTGCATTCTGGGCACTTTCAAAGTGTATGAGTCTACAAGAAAAATGTGATTTTTTCAAATTCTTTTGGGGGTGTCAAAAAGGATGAGAGGGTGAAGTGGGGTGGGGTGCCAGAGGGGAAGCAAGTGTTTGTCCCCCAGAAACATTGACCATATCAAGGTGCTATTTGATGATGTCTGGGCACTTAAAAAATGTCTGAGACGATACATGAAATTCAGAATATTTTTTTTGTTTTGTGGGCGATGTGAGGGGTGACTCACAATTTTACAATTTAAATTTACAATTTAAAGATGATATAAGGTGCTTCTGGGCACTTTTAAAGTGTATTAGTCAATAATAACATTGAAAAACAATCATAATTTTTTTTCAAATTTTGGGGGTGTCAAAGGTGAGGGAGGGGTGCCAGAGGGGGAGGTGGGGTTGGGGTGCCAGAGGGGGAGCAAGTGTTTGTCCCCCATAACTGTCCCCCAGAAACATTTACAACATCAAGGTGCTAATCGATGAAGTCTGGGCACTTTAAAAGTGTCTGTGCCTTAAAGTGCCTATTTCCCAAGAAAATTTTACAATTTTAAGATGCTATTTGGTGCTTTCTGGACTAAGAGTCAATAAAAAATTTGAAAAATCTTAATTTCTTTTTCAATTTTTTTTTTTTGGGGGGGGGGGTGTCAAGGGGGGTGCCAGAGGGGGAGGTGGAGTGGGGATGCCAGAGGGTGAGTAAGTGTTAGTCTCCCAGAATCATTAACTATATCAAGGAGCTATTTGATGATGTCTGGGCAATTTAAAAGTGTCTGAGACAATACATAAAACAAATTCAGAGTTTTTCCATTGTTTTGTTTGGGGTGTGAGGGGTGGCCCTCTCCCCCTAGAAATTTTTTCAATTTTAAGACGCTATTTGGTGCTTTCTGGGCACTTATGAGTCAATTAAAGAATTTGAGAAAATCACATCTTTTATCCAATTTTTTTTTTGGGGGGGGGGAGTCGAGGGGGGGGGGGCACCAGAGGGGGAGGTGGTGTGGCGATGCAAGTGCAAGATGCAAGAGGGGGAGCAAGTATTAGTCCCCTAGAAACACTAACTGTATCAAGGAGCTATTTGATGATGTCTGTGCACTTTAAAAGTGTCTGAGACAAAACACCAAAATAAATTTAGAACTTTTCCATTGTTTCGTGGGGGGGGGGGGTGTGAGGGGTGGCCAATACCCCTAGAAAATTTCACAATTTTAAGATGCTATTTGGTGCTTTCTGGTTACTTTCAAAGTGTATGAGTCAATGAAAAAAAATTACAAAAAAAAAATATATTTTTCAAAAAAAAAATTTTTCCAAATTTTTTTTTTTAATTTTTTTTTTGGGGTGTGCCAAAGGGGGGTGCGGTCGCACCCATCTCACCCCCCCATCTGACGGCCCTGGACGTTCAAATATCGGAAACTTCTTATAGATGGTCAGGGTATTGACTTGAAATATGCATAGGTATGAGGAATTTCTTCCCATTGAAATCGGGAGTGTATGGAAAAATACAGGGTGTCCCAACAATGTACCAAAATGAAACGGAAATCACTCCTTTTCCAACTTTTCACATAATGAAGAGAACTTATTTCAGTGTACAGTTAAATTAAAAGTTTGTAAATAACGTACAGATGAATACGACATTTTAGATGACACACTTTAAATGAACCCCCGTCACGATTGCTGTAGAGGTGAATGCAATTGCAAACATGGGAAAATGGGTGATGATTGAACAACCCTTTCTCTCCAACTAAATAGAAACTTAGAGTTATCCCATGTTTGTCGATTTTTTTTCGAATTCTGATCTTTTCTGATTACCAAATTGTTCCAGGCAGTCCGACGAGCAAATAAGAGTATTCCTTCATCACTTGCATTTATTCCATGTTTGTCTAGCTCGGTACAATTTTTGGGACAGCCTTCAAACGACAGTATTTTAGCGTCTTTATTTAAGTTTTATGTTTCGGCTATTTCATATTTTTGTTCGATTTTGTAATGATATTTCAAATAAGCAACTGTTCGACATTGACTGTCGAATTCATTTGTGCTGTTACAATTCAGCAAATTTGAAATAACAAATCCAATACACTACACTAATGGGGCAGTGACTTAAGGCGAAATGTTAAATTTTTAGCATAATCCAGCAATGAGAGTGATGAAATAGTAAAATTAAACAATTAAAACCACGAGAAAATGGCTGATTTTATACATTTACAATAAGCAAAACTGATGAAGAATGTGTAAAACCATCAATTTCATGCATCATCACATGGCATCGTTTATCACATCAAAGAATGTGTTCGACCACTTAATTTCTATGCAGATCGAATGAGAAATGTTTGTTGTTACTATTTTAAAGTTTAATGAATGATATTTGATCATCAAATGACATAATTTCTTGGATAAAAAACATACGTTTTCGAATTACCTATCTTCGGCCATTTATCTGGTAATTACGTATCGCAAACCTTGTAACTTTAGGTAAAATATCGCTTAGTGTAATAACAAACTACGTAGGTATAGGTAAATGGGTTATTTACGCTAATCTTAAACTCCCTATTTACGCTAATCTTAAACTCCCTAATATATCATTTGACGAGTGGGGGAATTTGAGTGTGATTCAACATACCAGGCCATATATGATAAGACACACAAAGGGCAAATAATATACGCAATCTTATACAAAAATATAAAAATATAAACGCATTGTACATCGAATATGTGTAGTTATACTGGATGAGCGTAGTGTAAAAGTGGTTTTGAAAAGTAGCAAATTTCACTTCATGTAGGTAATTTGTGGTTTATTATTCTACATTGATTCTGAAAACATTGGTGTCTAGATTTTCAGCGATTCGGAAATATTCAGATTTATACCCCCCTTGTGTAATTTTAAGGGGGGGGGGGTACTAGGAAAGTCATATATAATTCCTAGAATATAGAGCCAATCATCTTGAGTTTTACAGGTAATCATGTACTTATCATGTCCTACCATTATGACAAGTTTCATTAAAGTTGATCAACTGGTTGCTATGGAAATGAAGATCATATGTTAAAAAAGTACACATTTTCGTCAAAATGTAAGACACCCCATGGGACGAAACACATATTATTTTCATGAAATTGGGAGGAATCACCATGAATCCATTTTAGAAAACTTATTCAGAGTATGTTTGATAATATTAAATCAACTGCTGTTTTATCTTATCCAAACAGTGGAATCTATTGCTCATGATTATATGGCAATGCAAATAAATTTAGAAAGGGGACGTGGCACTTTTCCAAAGAATTCTTTATTTGTGTTCAACTTTTTGAAGAAAATAGATAACCATTTGTCCTGAAACTAACAGATATTATTCACATGATTATGTTTGACTATCATGAAAAGTTTCATCAGTGTTGGATTACTGGTTACTATGGTATGCAGATTTATACCCCATTGGTATTATCTTAAGGGGGTACAATGAAAGCCATCTATAATTCCTAGAATATACAGCCAATCATCTTGATATTTACGGATAATCATCCGTCTACATGTCCTACCAGTATGACAAGTGCCATCAATGTTGGTAATTTGGTTGCTATGGTAACAGAAATCATTTGCTAAAAGAGTACACATTTTCGTAAAAATCTAAGACTCATGCAACCTTTGACATTAAGCACATAATATGTTCATCATTTTGGGAGAAATAAGCATGAAAACATTTCATAAAACTTATCACATCTCATCAATCACAACAGTGGACGTTTTATTGCCATCACTGGTCATCAACGGACATGTTTTACACTCAGAGTAATAGACCTTTTTTACTTTAACTGACTTCGACAACAGAGTCCCGATACCGACTTGATTACTGTAAATCGATACAATAATTGCATATTTTCAAAATTTATTTTTGAGCATAAACTCAATACTTTCACCGAAATAGAGATATAATTACGATATAATTTACTATATGAAAATGACTGTAAACCCGTAATTTATCTTGATTTTATTTTACTTTCACCGATATAGAGATACGAGTACCGACAAATGATATCGAATCCCGACAAGTTTCTATTTGCAATATTAATTTTAGTGATTTATTTACAACCTCATCCTTTTGCCAAGAACACACACAATTGACAGTCCTCAGGAAATTCCATTTCATAATTGGGCCCCATATCGTCCATAAGTGCAAATGTTTGTGCGTCATTCATGTGTCCAAGAAAGCCATTGTGTACACAGCGAAGGGTTTTGTTACAATCCATAATTAACTGAGTGTGTAGGCAGTGAAAGCCTCGATTGCCAGAATAAAAAAATGTTCTTGTGACTCTACCAATGGCCTTTATATCTCATGAGAAGTACCATCTATTGCCCCAACCGCAAATTCAAGTTCTTCCCAGGTGCCCCGCAAATCATTCCTTTCGTTTAATGTTGGCAGCTGATTACTATAACAATGGTTCCAGAGAGCAACTACAAACTCGCCTTTCAACTAAACTCGGAAAATTGATGTCTGGAAAAGAGGTCAAACAAGACAAAGATATTCTTGGCGAACTTGAAGTTATTAAATCAATGGAGATGCCCAAAATATTAAAATACATTGGATATGATTCACATAATAACAATAATCAAAAAGAGTTTATTCAAATAATTTAATGTTCATCCTCAAAAATAAATTTTGAAAATGTGCAATTACTGTATCAATTTACAGTAATCAAGTCGGTATCGGGACTCTGTTGTCGAAGTCGGTGAAAGTAAAAAAGGTCTATTACATGCTCTTGTTCTCAAGTTTTTTTTTATGTCTGCTGGTTTTTTCAACTGTTCTTTGTTTTTAGAATTCATTAAGAAGCATTTCCAGTATTTTTAATTGGGTGTAATAGTTGTATATATCTCTTAGTTTGTTTATTACAAGTGACGTGGCAACTTGTTGATGGCAAAATAGAGCCAAATTGGCCAGACCAACCCATTCCACCTGGTGATCTCATAGACATATAGTCACATAAAGATTGCAGCGGATGCTTTAACAGAATTAAGTAGACATTGAAAGATCTTTTAATGAGGATTTTGAGGCAAATGATATAAAAGATGACTAAGTGAGATCAGCTAATAATTTACTAATGTCCCTACGCATAATGTGACAGCCGTATTCTGCATAGTTTTATTATAATAAGCAAATACAATGCAGCAAATGGCCCAGATGAAATATCTATTGATTAAATATTATCAGACATACTCAAAATAGCTTTTCTAAAATGTTTTCATGCTAATTCCTCCCAATTTGATGAAAATTTTCAATGTCTTATGGTGTGTCTTAAAATTTTACGAAATATGTACTTTTTTAACAAATGGATTTCTACCCACATTTGACCCATATTGATAAAACATGTCATAATGGCAGGACATGATAAGTCATGTAAGTAGTAGATTGTCTGTAAATATCATAATGATTGTTTTGATTATCAAGGAATTATATAATGGCTTTCATAGTACGCCCTAATGTGTACTTTTTAACAAATGATTTCTGTTACCATAGCAACCATTTGCCCTGCATTTATGAAATTTGTCATAGTGAAAGAACATGGTGAGTATATACTTATCTGTCAATAACAATATGATTGGTTAGATATTCTAGGAATTATATATGACTTTCATAGTACCTCCCTTAATGTGTACTTTTGAAAAAATGATTTTTGTTGCTGTAGCAACCAATTGTTACACATTGATGAAAATTATCATGGTTGTAAGACATGATAAGTAGATGATTACCTGTAAATATCAAGATGATTGGCTGTATATTCTAGGAATTATAGATGGCTTTCATTGTACCCCCCTTAAAATAATACCAATGGGGTATAAATCTGCATACCATAGTAACCGGTAATCCAACACTGATGAAACTTTCCATGATAGTCAAACATAATCATGTGAATAATATCTGTGAATATCAGGACAAATGGTTATTTATTTTCTTCAAAAAGTTGAACACAAATGAAGAATCTTTTGGAAAAGTGCCACGTCCCCTTTCTAAATTTATTTGCATTGCCATATAATCATGAGCAATAGATTCCACTGTGTGGATAAGATAAAACAGCAGTTGATTTAATATTATCAAACATACTCTGAATAAGTTTTCTAAAATGTTTTCATGGTGATTCCTCCCAATTTCATGAACATAATATGTGTTTTGTCTCATGGGGTGTCTTACATTTTGACGAAAATGTGTACTTTTTTAACATATGATCTCCGTTTCCATAAAACTAGTTGACTAACTTTGATCAAACTTATGACTCTTGTAGGACATGATAAGTAGATGATTACCTGGAAATATCGAGATGATTGGTTGTAAATTCTAGGAATTTTACATGGCTTTCCTAGTACCCCCCTCAAAATCAAACTAGGGGGGGGTATAAATCTGAATATTTCCAAAACGCTGAAAAACTAGACACCAATATTTTCAGAATCAATGTAGAATCATAAACCACAAATTACCAACATAAGGAGAAATTTGCTACTTTTCAAAACCACTTTTACACCATGCTCATCCAGTATTACCTTTAATCCTGGTTCGGGGCTTGGTACTGCTTTGGCATATTTGGCATACCGTTCTTCCATCTCCATACATGTATTGAGGATGTCATCCTCGTTTGTGTCACCCGTCACGCCCAGACATTGACCCACCATGTATAGCATGTATAGCATCACACAAAATGCTATTTTGACAGGCATTCTCTTTGGAGCTGGAGAAGTATCAATCCTTTTGAATCAACGCTACAGTCCGAATGGGATTATTCTAAGGAAATGACAGATTTTATTATAATACACTCCCCTCCAAAAGTTATAAACCCCTCTCTAGAAACCCTTTTAAAGCCACTTTATTTTGGATTTTATTTGCATAACCTGCGATATAACTATCAAGTCTGAATAACTTTAACTAGTCTGTTACACAAGTTGACATCATTTCAAATACTTCTCCTTTTCCATCGATGATGATTTTTTCTCAATGAAATAATTATCTATTCATCCAATCCGAAAGATTTATAGATTTCTTCAGAATCAAGAATCAAGTCAGAAGAGCCAAATCTTTTGACAAGAAATCTATGAAATACCCGAGGAGGCGAAACTGGTTTTCAAAAATGACTCTCAGGCTTTTTGTTGTTCACAAAGCAATCCGGTAAAGTGAGAGACTTTTTGTATATTTTACAGAATATAATATATATATTCCTAGTCTTGTTAACGTTAGTTACCGTCCAACTCATTGGTTCTACATGAAAATTATGATTTTCAAAAATTCATTTATCATTAGTTTCGATATATTCTTGATTTTCAAACACAAAATCCTGGCATTTGAAAAAATTACATAAAATAAGGCCACGTCCAAAATTGAGTTGATACATTATCAAACTCTAAAAACGGTAATATGTAATGTCAACCAGGTAGGGGTGTACCCAGCAAATGTCAAAGTGGGAGGGACGAATTTTTGGGTTTGCATCAATGCGACTAAAGCGATCCCCAAAAGGGGGGGGGTTGCGGGGGTTCACCCCAAGAAATCATTTAAAATTAACATTGTATATGGTGCATTTCAAGCATTTCAGACTACGATTTGTTAATTTTTTTCAACAAAATTACAGAATTGCCTTTTTCATTTTTTGTTGGGGGGGGGGGCGTAGCATCCCGCCCCCTGGCTAGGTTAATGTCAACCCTTGTAAGTCACCTGGTTGGAAAACTGTAACTAACACCCCAGTCACATTTCCTACGGCGACCGTGCGGTCTATCATTTCCGCGGTCAGTAACATTTCATTTATGCGGTCCCCGTAAAAATCAACAGGCCGTTGCCAGAACGCAAAAAGGTCCAACGGTGGCCGCACGTCGGGTTTGCCTTTGACTTGCGTCTGCTGTAGGGTTTGATGGGTAATGTACCTTTGGAAACAGTTTTTATGTCAGTTTTATGTCATATTTTTGCTGTAAGGTTTGATGTAAGGTAACTGATACCACAGCAACTTATATTTCACTTGCACTTTTTATTCGATCTAACACTACAAACACTGTGGCTAGTCGATCTATGTGGATGCAGTCATTTATATGCAATGTATCGTGGGTGCTCGCGTACATTATAGGGAATGGGATCATTGCAAAAATATGACAGCAAATCGAGGTAAGTGATCTCAGAGTTTCTACTTAACAATTGTGACTTGAAATCATGCATATCTATTCAATATGCATAGTATGACAATGTGTGAAAGTTTCAGCACCATATTCCTGTTAAAGGGAAGATATTTGAAAAACATTTCGTAAACGTCAACATATATGTATAAAATGGATGCCACTATGTATCATTTGGATTCAGAACGGTAACAAATGGATGCTATAATAAATTATACTTCTATCATGATGATTTATTTATTGATGGACAACTGGCCAGATTTTCTTTGTATCCATTGTTTGGATAAACATTCCTTATTCAGTAAAGTAATTAGCCACACCATTACAAGACAACCTCATGAAGAATTGAAAATACTATATATAAACCCATCAACTGGAAAATGCCATTACAGATGAAAAACTATGGATTTATCCCTAATACTGTTAATTAGAAAAACGGGTCCATAACATGTCATGTAATGATGACAATGAAAATGTTGAAATTATGTACGCCAATGAAGTGAATTCAGAGCCAAAGACCCATCAGCCCACTGGAATACCCACAAATCAAGTTTCATAGCCTTGCCCAAGTCGGTCTCTTTTACTTATCTTGACATGATGTTGACATTAAAATGCAAAACAATATACAAGATAGCATAAAATTGGACCACTCTGTAATTTGGTGTGAGGTTAGCCTATGTATTCCCACTAGTGTTGTCCAGGAAACACAGGCAGTTCCAGTTTCTGTAAATCAAACGAACACTACTTCTCATCGCAAATATAATACCAAGAATATATCCAGTGATATATTTAAAAATGAACGATGCAGATCTGCGCTTACAAATGTATTAGACTTTCATTTAAACACTCAAGAAGCTCAAAAATCCATGGATAATTTATATTCAGAGTTCATTGACATATTACATTGTGAAATGAATGAAAATCTTACATTTAGGGACATAAGTAGCAAGAAAGAGGTAAACATAGGGCAAAACCGTGGTGGAGTGAAGAACTCAATTCTGTATGGAAAGAAACTTGTAAATTAGAGAAGCTTTATATCAAAAGTAAAGGAAATAAACAGAATAGAGATAAAGCACGTGAACTTTTTCAACTTAAGCAAATGGAGTTTGACAAAATGTACAGGAAATCTAAACGTTTATATGAATCTAGCTTAAGAAACAATATAACAAACTTGGAAACTTCAGATCCGCGGAAAATGTGGGAAGAAATAGGGAAATTAGGCCCTGGAAAAACATATTCAATACCATTAAAAGTAAAGTTAAATGATGGTGAATATAGTACTGATCTTAATTTAGTGTTAGGTAAATGGAAATCTGATTTTGAATCCTTATTTAATAACCATTGTGGAGATTATGATGAGGAGTTTCTTAAAGAGGTACAGACATTAACAGCAAAATGGGAATGTGAGTTTGAGCAACTAGATAGAAACTGCCAACAGGAAAGTGAAACTTAACTGAAAGTGTTCTAAAAAATACTATAGATGGCGCAATGTCAGAAGATGAAGTGAAAAAGGCTGTTACATCATTAAAAAACGGAAAAGCAGTGGGTGTAGAAAATATACCAAATGAGATACTTAAATGTACACCATTACAGCCAGTTTTACATCAAATTATGAACTTATGTTTCAACCATGGAATTTTACCCAGCTTATGGTATAAGCCAATTATATGTCCAGTGCCAAAATCTGGAAATAAAAATGCTTTCGTACCACTTAATTATCGAGGGATTAGTTTAATCTCAACAATATGTAAAATATTTAGCACAATATTGAATAACAGATTATCTAGTTTCTTGGACTTAAACGGCATCATGAATGATGAACAGAATGGATTTCGTAAATTACGTTCATGCCTGGATCATATTTATGCATTAAGTACTATTATACACAGCAGACTCCGAGTTAAACTAAGCACGTTTGTTTGCTATGTGGATTTTTCGAAATAATTTGATACCGTTGATCATGAATGTCTGTGGCCTTAGCTGTTGGAGCTAGGAATACACGGAAAACTCTATCGTGCTTTAAAAACAATGTATAAATGTATAATCTACTGTGTGCGAGTAAATGGATTATGTACTGACTAGTTTGATGCTGGACCTCGTGGCGTTCGGCAGGGAGATAATATTTCTCCGACATTATTCACAATCTTTGTAAATGATCTCGTTACCGAAATAAAAACGCTTGATGTAGGTGTCGATATCGCAGGAGACAATGTAAGCATATTACTGTATGCTGATGATGTTGCATTGATCGCACCAACAGAATAAAGTTGCAACAAATGCTGAACTGTCTTCATGATTGGATATATAAGTGGTGACTGACTGTAAATGTTGAAAAAACGAAAGTAGTGGACTTTAGGAGAGCGTCGACATTGTTAACAGAAACAATATTTGTGCTAGGGGATGCAAAAATTGGAAAAATAAACTCTTATCGCTATCTCGGAGTTGTTATGAATGAGACTCTCGACTACACTGAAATGGTTTCAACTCTAGCTGATGCAAGTTCTCGATCCCTTGGCGCTCTTATTGGAAAATATTATTCTATCAATGGACTTCATTATTCGACATTCACAAAGATGTATAATGCAACCGTTATCCCCATCATGGATTACGGGGCTGGAGTTTGGGGCTATAAAGAATACGACAAACCGAATACTGTCCAAAACCGTGCCATGAGAACATTTATGGGCTTAGGAAAATATGCTCCCATTCCCGCTATGTATGGAGATATAGGCTGGATACCACCATGTGTTAGGCACCATGTTGAAATGGTTCGTTTATTCATCCGACTTAGTAGAATGCCAAGAACAAGGATTACTCGAAGAATATTTGACTTTGACTATACCAATGCTGAAAAAGGCCATAGAGGATGGTGTGAAGAGGTAAAAGATATATTTAAAAATTCTAACCTCTTAGACCTCTATAATGAACGTTTCTTTAATAATTCAAGTGCAAGGTCAACATTAAAAACTGTAAAAGATTCTGAAATGAATCTCTTTGTACATAAATGGACAGTTCAAATAACTACAATGCCAAAGTTACATACATATAAGTTAATTAAAGACAATTTTGGTACAGAGGATTATATAAAATTATTTTTATCAAGGAATCAAAGATCTGTTATTGCTAGAATTCGGTCAGGTACTCTTCACCTGAACATAGAAACTGGTCGATATAAAGGCCTGGCTGTTGAACAAAGACTCTGTGAGGCATGTAAATGTAGACATATAGAAACTGAGAAACATTTTCTTCTAGAATGCTCTTGTTACAAAGATTTGAGAAAAACTATAATTAGACCCCCTATGGTTCATGATAATGAAGATTTACTGAAACATCTTCTTTCAAATAAAAATTGTGTAAAACTTACAGCAAAATTTATAATGTTAGCACTTGAAAAACGACAAAAAATTGTATAAATAACACACTGTAATTTATGTATTATGTATTTGTATAGTGCCTCATAAGCCTGATAAGGCTGGGTGCCGATTAAGGTGCGTGGCACTTAAATAAATAAATAAATAATAATGATAATAAATATCTTG